AATACAGACTCCGTTAAATTTTTCAAAAGCTGTATTTTTCAACAAATGAAAACCTCAGCAAATTATTGTTTAATTTTCAAAAATATTAATTTTTATCGCAATTACTGGTCATTTCGCCTGTTTTTAATTAATTTTAATTAATTTAAACTGGATATTAAACTGGATAAATACAGGTAAAACAATTGGATTTAATTGGAAGGCAGCTCTCCTTGTACTCCTGTCGGGACTAGAATCACAGCATCTAAATTGCGTTATAAATTGAAAATAACCATACTAGATTGTGCTGAGTATTTTTAATGGCCTACAATTGCTGAGTAACTTCTCCTAAAAAATATCTTTGCAATATAGCTAAGTACTGCCTAAACAACAAGAAGCACCTATAATTTTAGTTTGAACTTATAAAACAGTTTTAATTGGATGTGATACAATTCCTCTTAAAATATTGGAATTCAATAAATTGATGTCAAAAAATATTTTTTTCAATTAAAAAATATGTGACAAAAAAGTTTATTAGCTTTTGATGGGAACAAAATTTATCTACTTGATTAAATGGTTAATGAACCTGTTATATTAAAAGATGAGTAGTGTAATACGCTGTTTAGGCATCATATTCGACCAATTAATAAAAAGTCCACTGGGGTAAAAGTTTGGAGAAATTAATTGATAATAATAATTGTATCTAAATTATATAGTTTTGACTTTTTGGCTTTTTGGTTTCAAGCTTTTGCACCCAAAATCGCCAAAAAACCTTTAGGAGTTATATAAGTCGTTATTTATTGTATTAGAATTCACCAAGCTTTTCTTCTGAAATAAGGTCTTCCCTAAAAAATTCATATAAAGTACGGCTAACTGTGAGCCAAAATCGTTAAATGAAATGCAAAAATGGCAAATAAATATAGTTATAAAAATGATTTTGACCACAGAAGCTTCTTGAAAATATCCGTGATCTTGAACCATAGTTAGGAGATCAATGATCTAAAGCATGATAGTAATCTATCACATTTACCGTATCAGAATGAAAGCCTTTAATAGGAAGAGAATGGATTCATAAATGGTGAGACCAAAATTTGCGAACAAAAACCAGCATTTATTCGATTACAATTCTTTGTTTAAAAATGTCGAATATCAGCTTTAAAAAGCAAAAGTGATTGATTTACGACTTTTAAAATAAGATTTGTCACACAAAATAATACAAGAGCAAAAAAATAATGAAAAACAGCCAATTTCCAGTTGTTGTCCATTTTTTCTTATCACCGCCGCAGGCTATCTATTTTTAAATTTAAGAAAAGTGAATAGACAAAGACAATTTTTAGCAAAATTGTCGATACAAATTCCAGGTGAGATTTGTTTAAATGATAAATGACTACTGACTACGAATGAGTGTCGTTTTAAAAATTTATTGATATATGTTGTATATCTTGCCTATTGAATTCAGGAGGATTTAAAATTTTTAAATGGATCGGAAAGTGAAAAACTATAGAAGTGTTAAGAATTAGGTCGTGTCAGCCTATGGAAATTTATCAGCTACGGCGTATCGAAGTATCGTCCATTCACTCCCTGGATGTCATCGTCATTAGTGATTCGTTGCCTCCTACTTCTCTTATACGTAGTTGCTATTATTGCTTGTATACCGATATCTTTGCTGGTTTGGTGGATTCGAAAAACTTTATTTAACGAAAAAGTGGTTGTTGGCGATAAAGAGATATCGCCATTTTATTAAGTATAATTTATTATTAATTATTAATTCTTTGGATTTCGTGGACCCTATAAATAATCTTAACGAAGAATATTCATTGCTCCAGTTCATTATTATTATTCAAATAGTCTAATACTACAGAATTATAATTATAAGGTGTCGAGAAATTTATTAGTCATCTAAATACAAAAATTTCTTAAAGAATCTAGAAATTCGACATATAAGCAAATAATTTTTCTTAAAAAATATAGACTAATAAGAATAAAATATCATTTTTACTATAAGATTTCGTGAGAAATTGAACAACAGTTTTTTATTACTATTCTGGAATTCAGCGATCAAAAATAATATACACAGTTTTCATATAAATATGATTAAAATTACCATAATCTTAACTCGCTTAATTATCTTGATATCCAGATAATAATCCAGATAATCCAGATATGCTTGTCATCATCGTTCATCCTGAACAATGGAATGGAGGATCTGATCGATGCAGCATTGGAATGATCCGGCATTTTGTAGATTCTGGGCACAGAGTAATATGGTTCACTACAATGATCGATAAATACTGGCAACATGAGCCATTTAGTGGCATCGGTATGCTATAATCTCGAAATTTTAAGCGACAACAAATATTCGCAATAAAAGTACAGAGTTGTTTAGAACGCAGAATACTGGAAAATTGAATTTATTTCTCATTTCAGTATTTCTATAATTTCTCATTAGCCTTTTTTTAAAATTTTATACTACTCAAAATTGTGCTTAATTTCATACTTATTCATTAATTTGCTAAAATGAAATGAACCGCTGATTGATTTTGAAAAAAGGGAAATTCGGAAAAATTTCAATATTTCATTTAAATTGCTTTGAAGCGATTGACTAAGAAAAGAAAACATTTGAATTAGTTTATGGCGAATTTAAGGGTATCGAAGAAACGAATTGATTAAAATCATAGATATGGTTTTAACAAATATTCTAAATAAAAAAATCTAAAAAATTTCTCTCATTTTCCTAATCAAATCTATAAGAATTCTCAGCTAAAAGGTACGATGGATAGAAGATAATTTAGATTATGGAATAGTAACATTTGGAATATCACATAAATTTAAGATAAAATAAATTCTGGCGTAGGGTAAGAAATTAGAAATTATTTAAATTTTTCTTTCGAGATCAAAAACTTTCTATTTTGTTAAATTCTTAAATGGTAACTTTCCTTTTTTTAAATTTTTATATTTCGAAATTCCTTAATTGATTCGATTCTTTCATCAAAAATTGCATCTTTATACAATGATTATGCTAATCTTACTGATTAACTTCAATTCATTGATAAAATTCTGAGGTTTTCTAAATTTTTCACTTCAATATTTTCAGCTTAAAACATTTTTTTCTGATATATCAAGTGATTAGTAAAAAATTATGGCTGAGTTGATCATTTAATCTTAGTGATTTATAAATATAATAATTTTGCTTTCATTCACTAATTTTTACCTTTACACAATAATCGCTAGTTTGAAAAAAATAAAAATAATATTTTGAATATCATTTTCAAAAATTTTTGGACATATCATCCTTAAATTTTTTAACTACAAGCCGGATAGTGCTTCGACTAAGGTTCGATTTCTTAATGAAAAACCTGATTAAAATTGGGGTGATACTGCATATCAGGTTGCACTTTGACCTCCGAATAGCTAGTAGAATCAGTCAAACTATATACTTAGAGGTGGAGGAAGGAATTTTTGTTCATTCTCTTGTTCATTCTCTCTCTTTAGCTTTCATATTTTTCAACTTGTGATTTTAGGAAGTTTTTAGCATCTTTCTTTGTTAATCGACGAGTTCTTCATCTTAATTAGATTGATCACAATTTTTTTTGTACTAAATAATTTTAATTCTTTCTCTAAGATCCCTAAGATTATATAGATTCTTAGGTTAACTGAAATAGCCATTTTTTGGAATATATTGACAACAAGGGAAAAAATTAATAAGAATAATTCGCCTAAAAATTGTAGGTGGCTTTTAAAATAAACGTTTATCATTTTAAAATTTTAAATGATACAAATCTATTTCTACTTTTGTTGCTCCTTTCTTGATATAATGGATGGTTTAGAAAAAATTACCCTGAATTGGCTAATTCATGATAAAAGATTTTTAAGACGTCTATTAACTTATTGTGTATGCTCTGAATGAAGGAAATCGTGGCAGTTGTAACAGAAATTTGGTGATAATATTAGTTAGACTGATGCAAACTGGTACTTTGTATATTGCAAAATTTTTGAGCCACTGTATCGCTTTTATTTTGACTTTAAAAATCTAAGGAAATTATTCGACTAGTGCCTTATCAAGAATCTACATTTTACCAGAAATAGAATCAGTTTGAGTAATAATTAATAGTCTAATTCTTTGCAATGGAATACCTATAAATCATTGTTTAATCTGTGTTTGCTGAATTGTAAATTACCTGTAAGAAATATTTATTGTCCAACATTGCTGGTCCAGAAATTGTTAAGTTCTAATTTCTTGAATTACTCTCCACACAGTTCACTGGTGCAATCAGTTATAGGGATGCCTAAATTTGGAAATAATTTGGACTTAATTTAGAGCAATATTGTAAATTAATTTGAGTTTCGTATCTTGACAAAATTCTTAATTTTCATCTCAGATTTTCATAAATGATTTATTTACATAAAAAGATGAGTTGATAGTGGTTTGTTTGAAATTCTTATGATCAATAACCAATTGATCCTCGTTTCAGTATTGTTTGCTCCTTTTACAAGCAGCGCAGTAGCTGTGATTTATGTTAATAGCACTGACATAGTACCATATTTATAGAAAGTGAAAGATAGCTTTAAGAAGTTGGAAGCGTAACTAAGTTGCAAGCTTAATTAAACTGGTAAATTTATCAGCGATTAATTATTAATTATATTTACAGAAGATAAAATAAATTTTATTCTTCACCAATAATGCAAATAATTCATTCACAAAATATTGTTTAATTCAACATTATTGGTGCATAATATTTAATTCATTAATTCTGATTAATATCACATCTCAACGATGAATAAATGCGAATTTTTAATCATTTATCATCTTTTTATCGTTTGCCACCATCTTTGTCTTCGTCTCTTTTTACACATTCGAATCTTATAATCCTGCATAAATTACATATTGTTCTTATTTATGAATTAGGCTGATGATATTCATCTATCGTCAAATCGTCGATTCCATTATTTTCAAATAATTTAATTAATATCGATGTTTAGCATTTCAGCAATTCAAAATTGACAAAAAATTTGCACTGATCCCAATGTCCTCTGATGCTAGAAAGAGTAGTGGTTTAGATTATAATGTAGATATGCAAGGGTTCTGCTCTCGATAGGAGTGAATCAGTTAAAAAATCCGGACAAAAATTTCTTGCCGACTAGCGAAAAATTGAGTTGGTCTAACCTGAAGTAATGAGCTCTAACTATTTGCTTATTTATTTGTAATACTTTACGATTGTCACAAATACTTTCTGTTTAATAAACATGGTCAACAGTAAGTATTAGGAGAAATCTTTTATTTATTTGTCTACGAGTTATTCAGAGATTCGAAATATAAATCTTGCCCTGCATCCTGGTGATTGGTTTTCACAAAACGTTGCACTTGGCTTTCAATTACTCCTTTCGGATCTTGATCCCGATCTTATTGTTATTGATCACAGTGCTAGGTATTTTTTATTTTATTCATAGAATTTAATAATTTCTGAATGAAACGCGAACCTAATGTCCATTTTTATTTATCTATTTCAGTACGTACCAAGTGATGTAAAAATAACTTTTTGCTGATGTTAGAAGCAACAAAAAGCAAAAATTTGATTCTATATTCACTCATTTCGCATAAAATGATTCCAGTTGTGTTCCTTTATTAAAATGGCGATTTCCAAAAGTGAAGATTCTCTTTTACTGCCATTTTCCGCAGCAACTTGTCACACCATCGAGGTTTTTTCTCTATCGATGGTATTCGAAATTAATTGCCTTATTAGAAGGAACCATGTTTCAATATGCTGATCTCATTATGGTGAACAGCCATTTCACAGGTTTGTTTCATATTCTCTTATTTTATTTTCTCATTAACTCCTTTGCAATTCCTCATTCTATAAATTCAAATGACTTGAAATAAATAATAATAAGTAACAACATTTGCAGAACGCCAATTTCTGCGCGTAATGCCTGAAGTAAATATATCGAAACTAATGGTAGTCTATCCACCATGTGATGTGGATGCAGTCAGTATTGGTGATAAAGCTATTAGTCGATTCGATCGACCTCGAAATACACGATATACATTTTTATCGATGAATAGATTTTGGCCAGAGAAAAGATTAGATATTATTGTTGAAGCTGCAGGTCTAATCATTTGATGCTTTATTATCTTAATTTTATATTCAAATGTGCTATCACTAAAGTTTCAAACAGAGCACAATTAACATTATAAATAAATAAGAAAACTTCTTCTAACATCTCTCACTAATATTGGTTAGGCTGACTCCACTGGCTACGAGAATAAAAAGCTGCTCGATCTGATGCATCGCTAAGAGCAATAGAAGCCACTTTTTTTTCCACCGTCTAAGTCCATATATCACTGATGGTCCCTAAACGTTTAAAATTTTTTCTGGCTGTATCAGTCCTGATCTTGATTAGCCCACCTCGAAAGCGTTATTTGAGCTAACGATAAATGTGAGATAACCATGTGAGATTTTATCCGCTCAGTGAACATGCAAAATATATCTTAGATACACGTTGTCAAAGGAAGATGTCTTCTCAGTATCCTCCATTCTCTTTGGCTATGTCTCATATAGTAAAATGTCTCATATAGACGTTAACTTTTGTTTTCATGTCAAATTCGCGACATCTGCATAAGTTTCGTCAACAGAAAACATTTCTGGTTGTTCGGATTGTAATTTCGCATGTTTAGGAGTGGTTTATAAATATTTAAAGTTTTGTCACTTCCAGTTATAAATTTTATTTCGAAAGGCCTATCGATTCCCCATACATACAGCCGATCTACGCTGATAAAACACCTTTATGAAGCCAATGATCTTCTATGGGACACTGTCACATTCCCCCACTTTTCAGAGCGCTGCTCTATCAATTGAATCAAAAGCAGCTGCAAAATCTATGAAGCAAGTGACGATGGGTTGTTGATATTGAAAGCGATGTTTCAGCCTCTTCTTAACGTAAATATCTAGTCCGGCATGTCAGCACAACTAAATCCAGCTTGAGTTAGGATAAATTCTGCTGTTTCATATTGCTATGATCTATTTAGCATGAGAAAAGCGAAAATTTTTCCGGAGATGACTAGCAGGCTGATCCCTCGATAATTGATTGTCATAGTACTTGACACCTTTGTTAAGAATTGGAAGCAGAACGGCTCCAGTTATCCGGTATTATTTCTTTTCGCCATGAATACATTTGTTATCGTTTTATGAAGGACGGTGGTCAATCAACATATGAATAGTTCAGCTCAGCTCAGAACCACCTTCTTCCGTAGTTTTATTGGCCTCAGGCTTGTGCATTCTTCTTCTCTTGGCTGCTTATAGTTGCAAATATATGGTTCAACGAGCATATCAGTTAAGCCCCGGACAACAAATAACAAAACTTATAAAAGCACTAAAAACCCTGTATTCATTCATGTAATCGATCTCCTTCTAAAATACTTTGATTTCTGCTACTATTCGGATAAAACTTTGTGCTAGAAAAGAAAATTACTTGGGAATAAATATACAACTGAGTTTCTAATTTTTAGTGGCAATTACTGCTTTCAAGGAGCAAAAATCGAACCCAGTTTCAAAGAAACAGTCCATCATCCTGTCCTCTATTTAATTAATATTTGAATATTAATTTAAATCATAATTATATTTCTTTGACTTTAAAAACCATAAATTTTGCGAATATATATATATATATATGTTTTAGAAATATTTGAAATATTTCAGTTATACTGAAGCGCAAAAATTATTATCCGAGAATACTTTTGGCTGGATCAGTTATGCCACATATTCCTGAATCTCGCATTTATTACGAGATTTTGCGCAAAATGGTTATCAAACTCGATGTAAACCATTTTTTATACAGTGTTTGGATGGCTTATCATTTATCAGTTTCTATTCTTAAAAGGCTGAAAGATTTTTTGAATAAAAACCTGATAAGAATATTGAGGAATTTTGGAAAGAATTTTTTATTCTAAAATATAATAATGGTGTATTATATATCATTTCAAGGTAGCAGATGTCATAGAATTTTTGGATTCTCCAACAGAAGCTGAAAAATTTGCGTTGTATCGAGCATGCGATACTGTAATTTATACACCACCGGATGAGCATTTCGGAATTGTTCCAATTGAGGCGCTGGAACAACGAAGACCAGTTATAGTCTGCAATAGTGGTGGCCCAGCAGAAACTGTTCTTGAAGGCATCACTGGATCAAAGGTAGTCACCATTTCTTTATTTTTCAATTATGAAAATTTCTATAATTCGTTCCATCACAAACATATGATTCAAATTTGCACAAATAATATACAACATATTGTATATTGTTTATTACATATTGAGTCCTAATACTGGATAATCGTAATCGTAAATATTTGCAAAGTCACTTCAGCCTTTTTTAGATCAACGATCCGGACGGCGGTCTGATGGCAAAAGCCATGGAAGAACATATTCTTAAAGGTGTATGGCCTGAACTTGATTATGATAATGAATATATGCAACAAGTAAAAATTTTAAAAATTCTATAAAAATAATGAAGTAGCTCTCCCAGGAAATTTGTATGTTTTGTGATTTCTGTAAAATTTCTTTCCTGGTTGACCAATCCCAATCGGATTTTGCAGCGATTAGCCAATCAAACGAAAACATCTTTAGTTGCACTACCCTTGGAGTTTGGGATCGGAAATAGATCCTACAGCGACTACATTTATTTATAGTACTGGTAGCGAAATTAGAACCACCATAGTCTACTAAATATTAATTTTGAATAAAAAAGCATTGAATGCTGTATCGATTGAAACCAATATTTTAGGAATTTAAGATAAAAACAAGTAAATTAGGTAGAAAAATGATTTCACTGCCACATGCACATAAGATTGGCCATGTTCATCATATAGTGGTGAACACGATTCAAGAATACCTCTTTTTCTTAAAGATAGGATAGAAAGATAAGATAGCAGAATGGACAATGGCTCAGAAAATATGAAGCCTGTTATTAATCAAAATCTGGACGACAATACCGGCCCATCGATATCCAAATCCTCGGCAAATATCTCTAACCACACAGTCAGCGGAGTTAGGAGCTAATCTAACCAGAAATGAGCGCTTACCACTTTCCTGTTTAAATTACTAGTGATTTCATTCGATTCTTTATGTTTCATTTACTTTATCACCACATGAACTTATAAGAAATTATGCTATGATATTTTTTTAGCGGAATCGTTTCGATGCAAACTTCAGTTTGAAAGGATTCTGTCGGCGAATCGATCACGCTCTATCAATTTTGTTTCCAAATTCACGATCTTATTATCCACAGATTGGGCGAAGCCATGCCTGAAGGCATTTCTGGTTTCTTTTTATTCTGAAATTTCTTCTCCTTTCTTCTATTATCACTTGGCTTCCGAAACTACTATATAAATTTGATATGATAAGCTATATTCGATCGGAAATGATAATTTAATCATAATTTCCATTTTTTAGATATTTATTGTTAAAAGATGAATTTGAGGCTCATAAATAAGCGTAAAACTTAGCTAAAAAATAATAATTTTCTCGTTTTTTTTTGTATTCGCTTCGAAACTCAGGTGATTTTTCTACGTTGTGTTAATTTTATTACGTTTGTTTATATGCTACCTATTGTCTAATACTTCGTAATGAATTAGTTGTTTGTGTGCTGTGCTGATAAACATCTTAAATAAATCTGTTTGAATATACTGGGAAAAGCAACAGTTAATAATTTCGTTCAAGTATTTAATATATTTATTAGACGGTTAATAGACGATACTTTATGCAACATAGCTGAAATGAAATGTAAAAAGTCATATAAGGTAAAAAATTTTTAAAGACAAAATATGTGGTACAGCCCATTTTTTTGGAGATTCTGATTACGCAACAACAAATTTTCATTCATGAGACAACAAATGTTTTAGAACCAAAGCAGAAGAAATTGTGATTATTGCAACTATTCTAATTCTAATCTTCGTAGGAGCAGTTTCAAATTTGATACTTCACTAAATTCCATAGAGATGATAATTTTTGAGTCGAATATCTAGACCACTGATAATGAAAAACAATAAAAGAATCAATGGTCGGTTGATCAAATCCAATCGCATGTTCTAGTTTGATACCCAAACAATGAGCCAAAATTCCGGTAAATACATCATCTAGATGAAATAGCGGAAAATTGCATATTTGATCCAATATTCGTTCCGCGGCTCGACGTCCTATTATAAAACTCGAGCCCTAAACAATGCCATCCAGGCTTAAACTAATGTGTGGAAAAATGCTAGTAAGAAGATATTCGATATACCATATAAATTTCGGCCTTTTATAATTGTATAGTTAATTAAGATATAAGATATAGCATAAATATATGCTATTAATATAGCATATATGCTATTAATATAAGATATATCCTATTAATATAGCATAACAGACCTGAATAAATGGTGGATAACACATATTTGGATACATTTCTGATGATATATACCATGGAAGCCAATTTAGAAATAATCGTGGATATCCTCGTGACACTTTACCAATTATCGATAAGCTGCCATTTATAGCTTTTTCCCACTAAAAACAGTGCCTAAAGTTTAAAAAAAAGAGAATATCGTAAAATTTTTTCATCTGGAAAAATTGTATAAAACTGTAAAATTATTCATTAAATATCATGGTTGGTAAATAAATAAATGAATATTCTGGAAAATTCGAATTCAAATTAAAATTTAAAAACAAAATTTGTACAATAATTTTGTTAAATCCATATTATATTTATTTATAAGTGCACGCATGTGATGTTATGCAATTGCATGCACTTCTATATGGCTATATTTGCAAGTAATAGTTCATGCACGTTTGTCAGTATATGGAGGTGGTATGTGCACAATTCTGTGTTCACATATGCATGCATCCACACGCACTTATGTTCTTTTAACACCATAAAATCCGCCTTTCATCGCGGGACAATAGTTACAAAATTACAAAAAGTTACAAACTTGACGATGATAGGTAGTACTGAAGGGATATAATGAGAAGTGACATGAAGCGTAAACAGGCAGAAGATATTAAGAGAGATATAAAGTTAAAATAATGGTGATTTGATGAGTATAAAAATATAAAGTAGAATGAGAATAGGTTTTAAAGGAACATAACGAATTTTGAGGGGATTTCAAGCGATATGCTCGAATATTAACATCGTTTTGCCCATCCACACTGATGCGTGGTATTGCAAGGATTATAGGCTATGAATCTAAACCATTAATCGAATCATTTCTTTGCGAATATCAAAAGATCTATGAGAAATAAGCCAATTAATTAGGTTTTTTTGAATTAGTTAAGCAATAAACGAATTTTCTAACAGTCTTGATAATATTGATTTCATTAACACTCACTGTTTTCAACTCAATTACTGATTACTGTATGTCCTGTTTGTTAAATGTTGAAAAAAGTTAATGAATAGAGCAATTCTTAAGATCTAATTCATCTTAATATGAAGTGAGTATTAGATTAGACTCTTTTTTTGGCTGTTAGCATGATTAGAAATTTGTGCCTGCGAAGGTTGCTTAGCAGAATTACAGAATTGCGGATCACTAACAACAACCGAATTTATCATAATAACAAAGTACCATTTTAAACCAAATTCTTTTTTACCATTTTTGCTAATATTTTATGAGGATAATTTAAAAATAATTTTAAATAAAACAAAAAGTTACCATTTTAATTGCCGTTGAATTAACAATTGTATCATCATTAAGTACAATAATATTATCGACAGATGGGTATTCTTTTAAAAAATAGTTATAGATTGAAACCATTTTAAGAGTTAAATTATAATACGAATCGTTAAAATCAAACTGAAGAATGTCATGATAAATAGCAGCTTCACTACGGACGTCGATTTCAGGAGTTGTGCCCAAAACGAAAATTACAGGAATGTCATTTTGCAATGTCGAACCCCACGTTTGTCGAATGAAATGGCGGTAATCATTAGATGATGGTGCACTTCGTACAACAGTTACTTTATTTTTGATTGTTCGTTTATCTGGATTAATCAAAGTGGTTACTTTCATAAAATGACATTGACGAGGAATTTTTTGTTGAGGAAAATATTTTTTAATACACTGATTGAAATTCGGAATTGGATCAGGCATTGCAAGCATATCATTTTGTGTATAGCAGAGGAATCTCAGAGGCAGTAGAGAACGCTCTAAATAGTTCGCAACCTGAAACTTTTCACCTTAAAACATTAAATATTAATATTCAAAATTAAAATATTCAAAATTATATGATAAATGAAATGCCATAAAATCTAATAAAACATGTAGCTTTAAAAAATATTCAACATTCACAATCTTCAATTTCACCACTAATTATTATAACGGCGCCAAAAAAAGAAGTACCAATTTTTAAAATCTAGAACTTGGCAATAAAAGCCTATCTCTATCTTCCAGCGATCATTTATTAAAATAACACAATATTTTGTGCAGTCAATCGAATGGATGGGATCTCGCAAGATTGCAACAACAATCTCTCCAATGTCTTCTACAACAGTGGTATCGTACGTTGGTTAGGCCCTGTTAAATTTAACCGCCACCTGTTTCTCATATCCACTAATGGTATCAAGCGACAAGATATAGACTTGGTGAAAAAATTAAATATATAGATATATGGCCCTATATAATGCGAAAAAGAGTAGTTTCTTCTATTTTCATATATGGCATCAGATCGAGCAGTCTCCAAACCTTTTTAGTGATTAACGAATATGCGCACTGACTCTATGATGAAAATCTTGTTGACACGACATCCGCCGGCCATAATACTATCAGGTGGAATATAAGGTGGACAAGTGCAATCCGGGCGTAGTCTAAGTTAATAACCTCAAGACTTAAGAATATGATCTGCTCGCGAGCCACAATAACTGCTCGAAATCTATCCCTATCAAAGGAAAAAGGTCCCTGCACGCGCGGCGAAGTGTTAGCTGAGTGTTAACTGTAACAATGTGAAACGTCAGAATGTTCGTTCTCTTTCCTCTTTCTAAATATCATGTGGATGTCGGAGACCGTCTTCAGGACTATATGTCTCACTAAATCAATATAACTCTAAGCACACACTGGTTATATATATCATTGTGGTGTTTCAGACAACTTGGGGAGAAATGACGTAGCGATTGTCTGAAAAAGCTCGGTCCGCTCTAATTGAGTGGAAGCCAGTAAACGACTGAATAGCTTATGATGTCTTCAAAAAAAAGTTTTGCAATATTTGGATCATTGTATATGCTCCAACTTTAAGTACAGATGACCATGATGAGGATAAGTTCTATACGGAACTTCAATTTCCAAGAACATCTCTACAGAAAAGTGGCATAAACCGGAATCGGAGAAGACTGGAATGCAAGTGTAGCTCACAATACCATCACGATAAATTCAGTAATTGGCAAATATTGAAACGGGGTATGATGCGCCAATGGTGAACGCCTCCTTCGCTTTGCCGAACAGCATGAGTTCTTTGTTAATAATATATCTATATAGAACTCTCCGGATAACAAACAGTCCAACCAGATCGATTATATTTTATTCAGTGGCCGTTGAAAGTAGATTCAGTACTAGATAATTCTTCCTATCATCCTATCGTATTGTTGAAATTGGTAATTTCATGGATCAGACCATGCTATGGTTCGAGTCAAGGTTCGCATAAAACTAATAACTCTCAAGAAACAACGTCTCTCAAGATCTTTCAACCATCTCAAACTAAAAGACTCGTGGACAATAAACGTATTTCAAACCGAAATCTCTGGAACAGCAGATGAATAATGGTCTCAACTAAAAGTATCTATCTTCGAAAGTTAATCATTTCCACACTACGATATGCTAGAAGGAAGTGCATTAGTTGGGTGTCGGAAGCAAATGTCAAACTATCTGGAAAAGCTGCCAGTGCCTGAATGTCAGGAGATCCTAACTATTGGGTGCTTTGAAGAATTACAACGACAATGACACGGCGGAACAAAAATCGCTATTGGAGCGATATTGCCTTAAAAATGGAGATGGAGACTCGATAATAGGTGACTACATGCTGTGCCTGTTAATAGTATTGAGGATCGCGTTGTAAGCTGGAAGGAATTAAGGCCAAACTTAACTATAATACATCTTTGTCATCAACACAAATCATCGAACCGTACATTCGCAGCTGCGAATCGCCAATAAAACAGGAAATAATCTTTGTAATCCAGAAACTTAAAGCCAATAAAACTCCTGAAGTAGACAGCCTTTGGGCCGAACTCTTCAAATGTTGTCTATTGTCTATCGTCTTTCTTATCGAAACTTCGACAAATGTACTCTTTGTATGAAAGAATGAAATAATACCAGATGACTGGAGTAAAGCAATTCTACTTGAAGACGAAATTGTAGCCCGAGAAATTTTCATGAACTCGTTGTGAAATCATCATTAAAACGAAATTCCACGTCTATATAGCTGCGATTCGCTCGATCTTGCTATATGGCTGCGAGATGAGAGTGGAGGTTATTAAGAAGCTACTACCTTATTTACCATTCTATTTTTAACTACTTTATCTTTGACCACTCAAAGATGCACCTTGCGGATCCGTCGAGCGAATAAAATCGCATATAATTGCATTCACCTTCACTCAAATACCACTTGCATTAACAGTACCATCACAGAACCCTCACTGATTAGAGTGTGTTCTTTGTCGTCCAGTGCAGGAGTGGATACGGGTATTTCGTTACTCGTTAAACCCTACGATAGATGGTGTCAAAAACGAGATGTACTAATCAAGATCTGAACTCTTTAAAAAAAATTGCTGGAGTTAATGAAAAGATTATCACAAATGAAATCAAAAGTTCAAATCAGTCATTGAAATCGATGTCATTCTGTCCCATTTATATGAACTAAGGAATACTTTTCGAGTGGAACAAATAAATTTCGTAAATTTTTGGAAAAAGGAACAAACTCACCAGAACGTAGGGTAAAATCCAAAAGAACAATAGAACAAGAAGCCTTTTCGGACATGGATTAAGTCGATTTTCGCGGAAAATAAGGTGAACGAAGGCATCTCGTAAAGACATCCTCGATTTAATGAAACCATTCGTAAGGTGGTTTTCTTCATTTCGTAGATTTTATCAAATTCCCATCAAGAAATTGCATTAGGATCACAAATCTTTATTATTCGAAAATATTGCATCCTACAGTTCGTCGTCATCAAACGATCATTTACTCATTGTTTCACAAAAATTTTATACTTGTGTCGAAGTAAGAAAGTACTAAGTGGTTGGTACTTTCTAAATGGGCTCATACCGCAGGTTTTTAGCAACGAAAATGCGAATTTTGCTAGAGAGTCACTCTGCACCATCTGCATTTTTTAAAGGTAGGAGGTCTTTTCCAGCGAGAGCACCGACCGGCGAAGGTCGGTCGATATGATTGTCTCCGCAGCAATTGAGTATTTGTAATCGCCTATCGAGTCGATCGATTTTCTCCTATTTTTACTCTTTTTTTCCTAAAAGGATCGACTTTTCCACATTATTGAAAATTTACTAAAATAGGTCGACCTGGGTCGAACATTGCAAGCGATTGGCGCATCCTTATGTCAATAGTTTTGCTGCACTTATTCGTGTACTTTTTCGTTCCGCTATTGTACTGCTGGTTCTAATATAAAAGTTTTTAGCTGTTAAATTTGAAAATTTTCTTGAAACTATTTTATTCCTACAGTACATTTTAATAAATAAAATGGATTTTATAAAATATCAAATTTCCCGCATTATTAATTTTCTCGGTGATATGAGTCTTATTTGTTGGTGAAATAGTGAAGGAATCGCGATGCAGGTCATTCGCAGTATTTTTTCTTCGCATTCTTCCAGGATTTTATATTCTTCGAATTAGAGAACGGTGTTGTTAATAACAGAGAAAAAATTTTCTAGCGCTGAGAAGCTGGTGGTTTCTGTCAAAAAAAGGGTAAATTTGCTTGTTGCATGTTTACTAATGCGAATATAATATGGCTGCTACATGGGCAGTGAAAGTAGGCTATGGGTGCAATTCATCGACGGGGAACTGGGATGCGTGGGGGCGTGTTGCTTTAATTGAGATCAGCCGTTTCTGTCCATTTCTGTCAACAAACGTGCCATTAAAAGTGGAATCCAGTGATGTCGATGATTCATTTCAAGAAACCCTCAGGTTTCTTTCTTGCAGGCAGTTGAGTTAGACCAAGCCAGAAATGATAGGTGCGTTCAGACAGAATGAAGAACCACTGAGATTTGCGATGGAGAATGAATAAACGGGGAAAGGAAGATCTCTCTGGTACATAATATTTCACCGACATTATGGTTGTGAATTAGGCAGCTGAATAAGTGTCATGCAAAAAAACTTTGTTATTTACCTTATTATTGTTGTTTGCTGTCGTGCCATATTATACCATTTATCGATTTTCTTTGAAGATATGAGCGTTGCGAATGAAAATGGATTTACAAAGGAGGCTGCCAGTCAGAGCGTTTCACAAGGAGTCGATATAGGCAGTGAAAGCAAGCCAGCTATTATTATAATTGGTGACCATGACAAAACCATTGTTAATTATCTCTTAGGTTTGTTTTGTTTGCATTTTTGCTTTTTTTGATGTGCTATGAGAAAAAAGTATAGAATTCTCGATAAGCACTGCGTGCGCTGTGCGCTGTTTGTTGACTCATTTATTTCTTCAGATTATAGGTCACTTCCAGCTTTTTCAATTTAGAAATGGTTGTGTGCGCAACGTTTTCCGATTCGCACAATTATTCCAATGTATATTTTGAAATTTTAAAATAAGATTTCAAAAAGCTTCGAAATTTTTCGAGAAAACTATTTCAGCCACCAGTCAAAATAGCGAAGGGAACGAGGTGTTTTTCGATAATCGCTATTACACGGCATCGGCCAAGCTTTATATATTCCCTAATATCAAGAGCGCAAAATTTCCGAATTTTGCGAAGAACGATGTACAAGCGATTATTTACAGAAATCCTGAAACACTTGAAGAAATTCTTGAAAGGCGAAATACCTGGCAGATTGATTTGGAGGTAGGTATATTTTGTATATATTTATCATGTAATATTTTTTATTTTCTGTGTTCAAATGTTTTCAAAATATTTTCACGTTTCACTTTTTTAAATATTTCAAATTTTTTTAAAAAATTTCGAATAGTTTGATTTTTTACTTTGTAATCTAACATTTTTTGAATCATTTTTTCCTTTAAGATGGTCGTTATTAATACTTTGGAAACAAATGAATTTTCGCTTAATGAATCTTTGACTGAATTGAAGAATTTTTGTTTACAAAATGGAATCATTGCAAATGAACTGTATCCAAATAAGGTTGCATTTCTTTGAAAAACTCTGAACTGAATGTTCAGAGAGCATTTAATCATATGAGAGAGGATCACAATTTTTTTTAATATAAATTTTTTTTACTTATATTTTCTTATTAATTCAATGATTGTGAAATTTTTTTCCGGTCGCATATCTCAGTTGATTTTGGTAATAAATTGGATTTTACAGCATTTTTTTGCTACATTTTTACGTATTATCTGAAAGATTTTTAGGAATCGTTAGAATATTATGAAGAATGTTGTGAGAACTTTGGCTTGAAAAAAATCTATGAGGTATTTTTCTTGTTAGCTTTTTGTTAGCTTAATTTTGAAATCTTAGCCTTAGCTTTATCTTTTTAAAATTATCTAGTAAAACATATGGACAGTTTGAACTGTCTAAGGCGAGGTAGTGAAGTAACTAGTAAAATTGACGTTTTTAAGTTCATTTTCGCTTCTCAATCCTCATTTCTTCCAGATAATCTATTTTTTCTGAATTATACCATTTTTTAGGGACTTTATTTCCACTAGTTTATAATGCACTTTTGATCAATAGAACAATAGAAAAAACTTTTAGTTGTTCTCTGATATTTCATAAAATTGTGATTATATTTAATTCTATTTTCTCTCATTATTTTTAGGATTTGATGACAGTTCGGTGGGCGAATTTAAATTTAAAATCTACAAGTTTGTCGAATGGTGATTTAATTATTTTTATTCTAAATAGCAAAAAAATTTTAATTGTTAAGTCCATTAATTGAAATTTCATTATTGATACACATTATGTTCGTAAATTTCAGGTCTAGAAGAAGATAGTTTGGGCAGTGTGAAATTTGAAGAAAATTTTGAACTTATATGCCGATTATTAAATGGCGAAAGAAATTAATTGATATGAACGCCAATTAAATGAAAGTTAAATTAAGTAAAAATTAAGAAATTAAAATGATGTCATGAAAACCGTTTAATTTTAGGCCAATTTTAAAGGTGAAACCGTCGTATTTTTAATTAATTTGAAATTTAATGCCTTTATTGTTCATTATTATTTTAATATTAATTTTTTGATTTTTGATTATTTCAAATTATATTTTATCGTTTCAGTATGGTAATTTTTTCACGAACTTTGAGATTTATTTTAATATAGCAATTTAGAAATGTACATAATCTATAAATACTTGGTTAAAAATAGTAATCAACAAAAAATAGTAATTAATTAGTTCGCTAATAAGGGCTGAAGAAAATAAGAATTCATAAAATATAAAGTATGGTTATTACTTTATTTCTTTGACATATTATTGTTTGATATTGATATCTTAAACATATTATTATTTTCATCTTCTTTCTTTTGGTATGTGTCACATAAAATAGATTTAATAGAAATCTTGATTTATCATGAATATTTCTATTTCTATCAATTACTTGTTCCTTATTAATTCTGTTTCTAAATTTTTTATTTTGATATCGTAATATCCTTGTGCATTATTTTTATTTACAAATTTTATAGAAATATAGATACCCATGTAATGTGCAGAAATTACAGAAGTTAATATTGTGGTTCATGCAAAGAAAAAATATGGGCAGTATTCACTGGAGTATCTGAAATTCGATTTTATTCTTTCACCTGACAACAACGAAACTCATCCATTGATTAATGTCTTCTATATGAGAAGACACTAAGCAATCTATATGAAGCCATCGGAAATCAAAAATCATTTAGGAAAAATGATAAGAGGGTGGACTGTACAAAACGCTGAAGCATATTCGTTCTAAATTCTTTATTCAGGCACGTAATGAAAACAAGTTATAAGCGTCATATAATATATGTGATCATCGGGGAACTTATTCCAGTAATAAAGGAAGTTACTGAGACGATGAAGCAAAAAAAAGTTCCAGTAATATTATCAAGATTGACTAAGTAACTGTGAAAAGGCCAATAAATGAGTTATCAGAAGAAGCTGAAGAAATGATTTCACATTTGCCAAGTTATATGAAGAAAATGATGAGAATATCAACCTTCCTTTCTGTACTGAAGATAAATGGTTATATTAAACCAGGATTCAAAGATTTGTATAGCTGAACGATCGAGTTCCTAAAGTATGGCGCAGTTCCATTCATGCAGCAGTGAACCTATAATTCACAAAATTTTCAATAAGAAAATAAGATTTATATAGGAAAGTTCCAAAGACAAAAAGAGATGTAAATTGGTCTACACTTACAATAAATCCTCAAAATGAACACCATATGTTTACCAGCAACGAATTCGCACAGCATACGTAATTAGATATCGATAAAAACTAATGGAAGTTTGATGGTATGGTAAAGCTAACTTCTTTCTTTTTCTTAACAGCTTACATCAATACTGGTAAAATTCGCTCCGCTAACTTGTCGGACTGGTGAGATGTGCCAGAGAGTTCCTTGGCGACAGAAGCACAAGTGAGCAGCCAGCATCACTCGGAAGTGAAGCTAATTATATGAGTTTTATAAGGAAGGCTAATAACAAAAAATATATATAGAAAAAAATAAAACAAACAAAATAAAATAAAATAAAGGAAAAGAAGCATGGGTTCAGCATGTATTACTTTGTATGAAATTCATAAGCATTTGTGGGAAACTTTTTAGCCTTCACCACATTTTTAAAGGGTTTGAAGGGACCTGTGGCCATTCGCCGGTATTATTTTCGATTTTTGAAGGGACCTGTGGCCATTCGCCGGTATTATTTTCGATTTTTGAAGGGACCTGTGGCCGCTCCAGCCATTCGCTACTCTCGTTCTTAAACCTGGCAATCTAGCAGAAATCCGGTTTTACAACAACGATGATAACTTTAAATGAGGTATGAATTCGATGTATGCACTAAAAGCTTAAGCTGACATTTAGAACCTTTCTAACATGTTTTCTAATATCCAGACGACGTCGGCTGCGGTTAGCCTAAATTTATCTCACCAGAGTCGTTTGTAGTTTGTTTCTTTTGCAAAACGATTATAGGAGAGAGGCGGCAGAGGGAGAGGAGGGGGTTTCGTTTTCTCGAAAGTGCCTTATCTTTATTCGGTTTTCTCCTTCAAAATATTTATGCATTTTTTAGATCTAAAATTTTCTAATTTTACACATTTGCAGTCGACGATTTAGAACATTTCGCAATGGCCGTCAAGAAACAAGTTGGTTTAAATGCATATTTTTTTTAAGTTTTCTTTGAGTTGTTCTCCTTATGAGAAACGAATTAAATTTGAATTGGTTTGCGACCGTCTTGGAAAGATCGTTTAAGAAAAACGTTGGTGTAGAACGTGCAAAAATTTCTTATGGTACTTAAGTGTTGCGAGGAAAGTCGCTTTACTATTCCCTCAGCGATAATTTATTCCTCCATTTTTCCTCCTTAAACTTCTGTTGCTGCGCATTCTTCTGCATTTTCTTTTCCCTTTCCAAAAATTTTCAGCCAGCGTAGAACACTGGCTTTTCTGATTAGACTTGCCACACTGTCTTGTCGGGCCAGGCAAATTTTATCAGGAATAACTTAGCGATAGAAGTACAGATAGCAACAAATTGGTCATCCTTTTACTTAGTATTGTTTTTTAAATTTCCCCATCCTCTTTCATTTTTTTATTCTTTCATCGCATTTCTACATTCACCAACTTAAACTGGTCATGTACTATTTACATTATATTAAATTGATGACCACTGCATTAATAAATGAAATTTTTTGCAGAAAAAATCAACTGAAAACATAAATGCACGTTTAGCGATGGTTATGAAGAGTGGCAAATATTGTCTTGGCTATAAACAAACGTTAAAAACTCTTCGAGCTGGTAAAGCAAAACTTGTCATCCTTGCTAACAATACTCCTCCTCTAAGGTTTGTTTTTCCGTAAAAAGTAATTTGACCTCATTTAATAACAGCCGAGCGAAAATGTTAATGTTAATTTTTAAATGTTAACTTAAGGAAAGGTTAAAAGTATTGTTGATTGTTTTGACGAATATGAATTTCCCTCTTGCAAAATTTATTTCTTTAAAATTTATTTCTTTATTTCTTTAAAAACCGCATTAGGTATTTGGCATATTTTTTCATTTTGCCATTTTTCTTTCATCTTTGCTAAATATTTATTTTGATATTTTAAAACGTTTTATAAATTCAGTGGCTTTTTTTTTAAAGGAAAAGCGAGATAGAATACTATGCAATGCTCGCAAAAACTGGTGTGCATCATTATAACGGCAATAATATCGAATTGGGAACAGCATGCGGCAAACTTTTCCGAGTTTGCACCTTATCTATAACAGACGCTGGTGATTCGGATATAATTCGTAGTATGCCATCAGAAAATGTATAAGATTTCTTTGAAACATTGTTTTGAAGAGAATAAATTCTTTCATCCCAGATAGAAATGCTCCAATTAATTGTTCTTATCAATTCATAATTTTTAAATTATTTTTAAAATATATTGAAAATAAAATTTTTGTTTTTTTTGGGTTTTTGCACTTTTATTTTAGTTAATTTGACTCAAATAAATGATTTTGAAGAATTATGGATGTATTGGTTAATCTCAAATTGGTTTTCATGGCAGTTTCATGGTCTTACGGTTTTTATCTTAGTTGGTTATACCTTTTAAGCCCATAAGCAACATCGAAGTCAATAGTGTTGAGTTTTTTTTGCTTTCTTATTCTCGCCACTTCATCCCAGCATTGTGTAATTTCACATTTAAAATTTCAATATAACGTTTTTGGAATGGTAGTTCTATCGTTGTTCAATAGTTTAAAAGAATTTGCATTTCTGTAATTTTTACCTTTAGATGTTCTCCATTTTTTACCATTCCTGTCGTAAATTCATCGATTCGCAGAGCGATTCCTATGTAATGTCCATTATAAATAGATTTGGAGTGGATGGATTCTTAGCACCGCTTGAATCTCACATTTGATGCATTTTCCCTTGTCTATGAAGTGGTTGTTTTCCCTCAATGTGCCTTCTTTTCCTTCTTGACCTTCCATATCCTCACGTTTTTGCTTGATCCTGGGGCTTTGTCATTTATCGTTACTTTATACGGATTGCTTTGTACCGATTGATCTAATAAACGTTCTGGATCTTAATGTTTAAATTCTGGTGATTTGGATTAAGACAGTTTATTTATATAAAAGAAACAGGATGTAGATTTAGGAGATTCGGCAGCTGTCCCACTGTCCCAGACAAGAGCAACAAAAATTTTTAACCAGCAGATAGCTGAGGTGTTTAATCAAAATTGGTGAGCGTTTACCATGAGCATGCCTATATACATACCTGTGCGAAATAATTTTCTTCGCTGGCGTTTAGTTCAATATGTATTGTTGTATTGTTTCGTTTTAGAAATATGAATGGTAATATGAGTGGTCATTTAGGATGGCCTAAAATTCCTTTCTTAATCGGTGTGGCTGGTGGAACTGCTTCTGGAAAGGTTCTTTTAGAAATTAAATTCATTGTCGTTTCTTATTATGATAAATTAGAATTGCAAATAGAAACTTTCGAATTATTGTTATTATTATTGAACTATTGTTATCTTAGAAGAAAAACAAAGTTTTTTGATTTAAAGTTTTAAAATTTTTTAAATTATTTTGCTTCATTGTATTGTGGTATTTCAGATTTTTACTTTACATTCTTTCCTCTCCTCTCGCTTCTTAATTAATGAATTCTCAATTGACAAACGGAGATTTCCAGTCATCAGTATGTACTCGTATTATCGAACGACTGGGGATGGCGCATAAACGACGAGTCGTTGCTATATCACAAGACTCATTTTACAGGGATTTAACCGAAGAAGAATCGAAGCGAGCTGATCGTGGAGATTTCAACTTCGATCATCCCGGTAATTCAACGACTTTCTCGGAATTTTTTTGAATTTTTTTTTCAATTTTGCAGATGCTTTTGAACACAAAAATATGCTAAATGTTTTAAAGAAATTACTTCGTGGAGAAAGCGTTCGCATTCCCAATTATGATTTTCGTACGAATTCGAAGTATGTTTTCTGAAATTATTTAAATTTAATAGCGCATTTTCGTGCTGATGCTTTGCAATTACATGGATTGCAGCCACTGTACTTTTAATATGGGCGAGAATAAAGAGAGGAGAGAAAATCTGCGTTGACAGTGGTAAATTATTGCAAATTAGGGGCATATTGAGGGAGCTGCACAGCGATAAGAGAAGAGCAAATACGGATAAGAGAAGGAAGGAGGGGAGTAGATAAGAACGATGTTTTGTCCAAGCAAGCGAAGAATAAAATTTTCCTATTTGATTTTCTGTTCGAATTCTGGTAATTTAGATGTTCTCGCTTATTAAGAATTTATCATTTTTTATTGTTATTAAAATTATTAATAAAAAAAATTATTGTGAATATGATGTCATATTCATATTATAAAAATTTATATTATGAATGAATGAATGACGCATGAAAATTTATGAAAGCGAAAAAAATAAAACATCCAACTTTTGCTTGAATTTGAAATTTAAATTTTTCCATTATTTGAGATTGTTTATCTGCAATAATCTTTTCCTTGATAGAGATTTAGTCGAATTGTTGTTATAATGAGGCGCGAAATTCACTAATTCGTTTTTCAGGAAAAGTGATAGCATTTTTGTGGAACCGGCAGATGTCATTCTTGTTGAAGGTATCCTTATATTTTATGATCAGGAACTAAGAGATTTATTCGACATGAAATTGTTCGTTGATGCTGATTCGGATGATCGCTTGGCTCGGCGTGTTCAACGAGATATAAAGGAACGTGGTCGTTCTCTTGCTCAAGTAAGTCAATATTCCAGTTATAATTGTATTTGGAGAAATTGTCGTAAATTTAATTTAGGTTTTGCATCAGTATCTTTATCTCGTTAAACCAGCTTTCGAGGATTTTTGTCTACCCACAAAAAAGTATGCTGATATTATAATTCCACGTGGTGCCGATAACGAAGTTGCTATTGATCTTATTTTGCACCACATTCGTGAAATTTTACGATCACCTTTATGTTCATCGAACTCTTCACTAAATGACAATAACGAACAACAAAGTGATCAAAGTGATATTCTACCATTGTTTTCTCATCTGCATTAAATTGTTTTTAAATTAAGTCAGAGAATAATAACCTGTTGATCATGAATTTTAACTCGCATTTAATCGAGCCAAGCTTTGTTTTCCTTGCCTAATTTCAGTGAATCGATTACTTTCCTAATTCTGATAAGTTTTATTTGAAATTGTAGATTCATTTACAACTGTTGGTTTCTTGTTCTGTGACTGTCAGGTCAGCAATTTCTAATTCGCCAATATCGAGGTAAATTTTTGGGTTATGTGACACAAGTCTCGCTATTGAGAGTCCAGTTTTTCTTCATTCACCAATTTTATAACATTTTTATTTTGTAAATTTTTTGCTAGATGCGTCTTGTAATATTAATGAGAAGCGGATTCGTCGATCTGGTAATAAGCAAAAAATTACGGAATATTGTCTTCATTAATATTTATTACTTATTTATTACTTATTATTTACTACTTACTATTCCCTAATATTCAGTAACCAACGACTAATTTTAGGTAATGAACTAATAAATTTTGCAACTATGGGTTGTAACTTGGAATTTATTTAAGCACTTACTGTTCTGGAAGTTTAGGTTTTTTGCAATAAAGTTTGGCTCCTATTCGTAGAACCAATGAATTTTTTCAGTTTATCTTAGTAGAACTGCAATGTTTTTCTTAATTTTTTTTGTTTTCGCTTCGGAAAAGAACGGTTTTTGCTAAAAATTTTTTTTTGTCATTGTTGTGTGGAACATATGTTGTTCTTTTACATTATCATAGAAATTTTTTTGCATCATTTTAGCTGAATTTTTAAGAAAAATGGCCTATAGGTCAGTCATCTTTAGCAAGAAAGGGGTTCAGAATTGCAGTTTACATTCAGCAGATTTTATGAAAGCTGTTTGAAGATCATTCGTGAAACATATGTCTTTTTATTGGTGTATCAGTAAATCGGATATTAGTGATCTAACTGGTAAACTGGTTTGTTGGGAATGTCTCATAGCTGATTATCGTTTTAAGTTCGGCCTTTTCCGTCATTTGCTGCTAATTCTATTCGGTCATATTTTTCATTATTTGTGCTACATTTTCCAACAAATTTTTGGAAAATTGTTGACTTGTTGCACTTTTCCTAATTGAATATTTAAATTAAATTTAGTTTTCAAAAAGATGCAAAATATGAGCCTAAAAATTTTTTTCGTATAATTTAATTGATTTTATAAAACAAAAAGAAAGGATTTTCGGCGGTGGTGCGAAAAATTTATTTGTTGATCTGCAGTTAGAAATTGGAGCTAATTCGTTCGAGAAATTTGATTCGTAATCGGCAATTTAATTTCGGCGAATCCTCTATTATTTCCATTAAGTAATTAAATGTTTATTTGGAGCGGAGTTTGGATTTTGCAGAATTAAAGTTTGCTTGATGTCATCATCGGAGCGGTGGAATAAGGAGAATTGTCGAGCATGTCTGTCAGTGGAAGAATTAATGAAGAAAGCTCGAGAACTAAGACTGAGGAAGTTAAGAATCGGGGCAAGTGGCGACGCAACTTCGTTGTCTTCTGCAGAAAATGTAAGTGTTGATTTTTCCTTTTTCTTCTTTTCATGCTCTTTACTACTTATAGACGAATAGTTAGAGTTAATCTAGAGTTAATTCTTTTAATAGTCCTAAGCGATCAGTTCAAAGCCATTCTGCTATAGTAGGAAGAACGATTGCAATCAGTCAGTTTTTCATCTTTGGAGTTGATTCTCTTTTTTAAAAAAATCATATGAAATCATAAAGTCGCAAAATCAGATCGATTGCTTATCTTTATTCTCCAGAAACTTTCTGGATTTTTGGCTACAGTTTTTTCGATATTTTTTATCGAAAATTCATCCCATCGTATTGGAGTCTGCCTAGTTTTCTCTTAAATTTCCTTGGGCGCCAGCCTAATTTCCGTAATGACCACCTGTGATCCATGATTTGTCGCATATTGTCGCATGCCTTAAATGTCTAATCCATATTGAAATGGTACTTAGAAATTGCTCAGGATGGGATGAAATGGTACTGAGAAATTATTTGATAGGCTGAAAGTTTAGTGAAAGCTCATTATTATAATAAAAATAAGATATTACTAGTCTTACAAGCAATAACAGCAGAAGAATAACAGTTGTAAAAAAAAACGAGGTAAAGACGAGAGTATTTAATTTCTTTTATGATACTGATATTGGCATTCATATTCCCACAGCCACTTAGATTTTTAATTTAATTTAACTAATTTAGTCATTTAATTTAATTTAGTCATTTCTAAAATTTAGTCATTTTAAATTTATTAATTTCAGGATGCTTTAGAAGGGAGAACAATACGAGAAGATTGTCCACTAAATACAGATCAACTTGGTAGATCGACGTGGGATTTTTTACATACTATGGCCGCATATTATCCAGAAAGGCCATCGGAAGTACACAAAGCGAATGCAAAATCCTTTATGTTTTTATTAGGAAAGGTATATGTAATGGTTGATCTTTCAAAATATGCATTATTTTGCTTAATTATAATTTGCTTGAGTGCTTATAATCATCAGGCTCATCTTTTCTTGATTTATGCATTTTTTTAACATTTTTAACGTTAACATTTCATATTTAATGTGTTGCCTAAGCTTATGGCATCATAATGTGGAGCAACTGAAGTCATTAAGAAAATTTCTATGTATTAATTTATCATGAATGGAAATTAAGACTGAAAAGATTCAGAATACATTTTCTTGAAAGAATTTTATTGTGTGGAAAATTTTCAAAAGCGATTTATTTTCTCTTTTTTAAAATCTATTATAGATATATCCATGTCATCATTGTGCTGAAGATCTTCGCCGTGATCTCGAAAATAAACCTCCAGAAGTGGATAGTAAAGAAGAGTTTTCACTATGGATGTGTGAGCTTCATAACAGAGTTAACAAAAAACTTGGTAAACCGATTTTTAATTGTTCATTATGGAAAGAACGTTGGTTGGATGGATGGAAAGACGGATCTTGTGATTACTAATTGACTTTTTGGGTTAGTCGAGATTATTTTTTTCTGGAAGATTTTCTGTTGAACTACTTTTTTTCAGTTTCAGCTTATTTAAAACGATTTTATCAAGAGTTATAAAAATATTAGCTAATCTAATGAAGTACAACCAACTAACAGTTGATTTCACTGATATTGTTTGTTGATCGTTAAATTTATAAATCTTGGCTTTTTGCTGATTACATTGATTTTATTCTGAATTCATTTAATGAATTCCTTTAATTCCATAAATTTCCATTAATTATCGAATCAGAAATGATATTTTTAAAAATCAATTTCAAAATTTATTTAATTTTATTTAGTTTTATCTTATTCTTATTTTATACTTTGTTCGATTAATTAGTATTTTGTCGATTTTCTTATCAAAAAAATCAGTTTTAATTTAATTTAATTTATAAATGAATAAATTTTTTCGTTAATTCTCCGTTGCTTATAAAGGTGATATTATCTGCCAGAAATACTATTTGAAAGCCAATATTTTGTAACTGGTTTTGCATTTTTTGTTTTGTTTTGTTCGTTCTTTGCATTCGTTACATTTTTATTGCCATTTCAGTAAATCTCTTAGAAATTCATTGGAATAATTTTGATAGATACTTATTAGCTAACGATATAGAGAAGTGGCTTCGAAATGGCTTCCACGGAAGTTGCAGCATGGGAAGGTTCTCGCGGTCATTCAGCACCAAAAGGTGGGATTTACAGATTTTTATTTTTTTTATCTTGTTTTCAATTTATTTATTTTATTTATTCAATTTATTTTCAATTTCAGCATTAAATTATAGTAAAATTTAAAATTGATGATATTAGTGGATTTTGTCACGCAAACTTCTTGTCGCAAACCATTTAAATTTGCTTAAGGTGATTAAATCTTGAAAAATAATTTATTCGGAATTTTCTTGAATGGTTAATTTTTCTCCATCGTCGTTCGATGAACATCCTTAAATGCGGCATATTTCGTTAAATTTCCGATGATGAATCTCTAATCTAATTGATCTCTGCCTTATGTTGCAGGAACGGAAACGCCGTTAATGGATTTGGAAGCAAGAGCTGATATTCATTTCAGAAATCTTTTAGCATCTTTGCGAACACTTTTGAAAAATTTAAACCGTACAACTAATTACAGTGAATCAATGCTTTTTCTTAAACGTAGGTACTTTCATATTTTATCACATTTAACCTTTTTTTTGCAATTTAGTGCAATTAATCACTTTTTTTTGTGAAAACTTTGCTAATTTTCAAATGTTGCAAAGCGCGTAAATAATAAATATTTGGTGAAATAAACTAAAATTGTTTAGATAAAAAAAAATGAATGAAAAAGTTAAAGTATCCATCGTCGCTCGAATTTTTCAATAATTTTGCGAAAGTTTTCCAAATTATTTGCTAAATGAATACGATGAAATTAGTCGTATAGTTTTGGCTTATCAATGAATTATTCAACAAAGCATGGTCGACCAGTTCAAATAAATAGTTACCGTTTGTAGATGAATGACTAGCTCCTCTAGCTGTTTTCGCCATGGAATCGGATAGGTATACAATTGGGTCACGAGCAATGTCAAATTTTTTAATAGGTTTACCGCTGCTCGGAGTAGGGGCGTTTAACCATGCACTTGGTTATCATGTCCTTGGATTGTTTGAGAAGTTTATTTGGTTTACTAATCTGAATATGTTTAAAAAGACTATATAGTTATTAAGAATGTGTGGGGAAAAGTCAAGTTGCTCACTGAAGTAATTTCAGACTGAATTTCATATAGCTAAAGCTAAAGTTAACTAATGATTCATTATTGTGACAGTTTTTGTTCAGTTAAATCCATAGAAAATCCTTTGTCGATATTGTTTCAAACCCGTGGCGACAAGCATATATTTGTTTCTCATTTCGTTTATTATTTCAGCCTTTATTAAAATTTGTGTTCGTCTTGGATTCATTTCACCGCTGGTTTTGGTTAAAGATTTTGCCCCGAATATTCAAGAATTTTTGAAGTTCATGGATTATAGATTTAGACGCTCGCTTCCAGGTAAGACTAGGTTGGTTCACCAGTTCGGTTTTGTTATCATCAAATGATTAAATGTTCTCTAAATTTTTAAACCAATTTCGATTTAAAAATGTCCATATTTGAAGATTTTTTATATTATTTTGGCTGTAAGTTGTAAATACAATTTTTTTATCCATCTTTTAACTGCGCAAATGGATTCTAATTAGCTCGAACTATCGTTCCAACTTTCGTAGTTTTAAATTTTAAATTTATTGGATTTATTTTTTTCAGTGCACCATCTTCGCTATTTTCCAGTTCCGGTATATATTCTTATAAATATGAACAAGAATTTGTTGAAATCCGCCTTCTTGGAAGAGGAGGCTTCTCATCTGTTTTTCTGGTTGAAATTTCATCATTTTATCAAACTGCTTTTTTTAATGCTCTTTTCGACTAGCTTACCTAAAACGATTTTTGTTTGATTCAAAAATTTATATGTTGTGAAAGACATTTAAATCTAAATTTCTTTTTTAGGCTCTTTCCTTGTTCGACCAATGTCAATATGCTATAAAGAAAGTTGATCTGGATGAGGGAATGTATGACGACCAAATTCAAATGAAAGAGGTTAAAAAAGACTCAGTGAAATAGTTTTTTATAAAACTAGATTTCACGATAACTCCTCAATTTAATAAAATTCATGGATCCGTAAAAAATCGTAATATTTTAAAAACGCAATATTATTAATGTCTCTTGAACGATTGTTTTTGGTCTATGGAAAATGGGAAAATTTAGCCGATATTATGAAGGTTAAAATTTATATTTTCAGATTTTTAAAGAAGTAGAATTATTAGCATCTTTACGTCACAAAAACATTGTCAGATACTATAATTCATGGATTAATATGAGCAGGAAAGCTGGAAATAGTCCAGTGTCGAGAAGCGGGTGTCATCTTCTTTTAGCCATTTTCACGAAATTTTATTGCATTTTATGTTTATCTAATCGTCTATTTCAGTGCTTAATTTACCTCTTTTTATTATATCTTTTGATTGTTTTTGGGATTTGGCTTTATTTGGGCTCATTTTTTTCTTTTACTGGTTTATTTTAAAAGAAGAAATTTAGAGCCAAAAATTTAGTCGCCTTATCTTAATTTTCTTATTCTAGGTCTGAATCTAGTGAACCATCTCTTTCAAATTCAGATTTAGGTGAGCCCTTTATTTGACCCTTAATTTTTATTTTGTAGATTTTTTAAAGATAATATTAATCCTATACTTGCTTTATAAATTGTTTTATTGATAAAATCAGTTAAGCACTGATGAAAATTCTTCAAGTCCAAAAAAATCAGAAAAATATATATCAAAATATATATTAAAAAAAAATACATTGAAGAAAACTCTTCAAGCACGAGTCGATTAAGTTCTTCAAGTGAATATATGAGCTGTCTTTTTGATAATAGCCAATCTGGAAATGCGAATGATCCTTTACCTGAAGAAGCAGACGAATGCATGAAAATTAAGCGAGGTTTGCCTCATCGACTGAAAAAGAAGCAAGATTTGATATTTTGTGAAAAAGAAGTACTTGCAAGGTCTCGACCAAGTAAATCATATCGTTCAGATTCTGATTCAGTGGATTTCATATCTCGCGTAATTTTTTATTTCACCTATTCGTCTGAAGAAAATTTCGTTGCAAAATATATCTCCATGGCACTTATATTCTTTTTCTGAGCGAATGAAGCTTATATGAAAAATATTTTTTTAATTTTTAATTAAGTTTAATATTTTTTAACCATCTTCATTGACTTTTCCAAATAATTTTACAGGAAATATAATATTAATACGCTGATTTAACTATTTGCATATTAGTGAAAATGTTCAATTTCATTTTTTTTTCAGGCTTCGTTTAAACTAATTATACAAATGGAATTCTACGAACAATCACTTTATGATTATATAATGGAGCGAATGAAAAGTTCATAGTTTTATTATTGAATTTTGAAATGACATTTTATTGGTCTTAGTGCAGTTTTCAAATATTTTTAATAATAATTCGAAACATAATTTCACCTCCTTGCTTTCTTTTCCCGCTGGAAAGGCCGTGCCCGCTTCGTCGTCGTATACCTCGAAGTTGGTTAATTAAACCTTTTCAAATATAATGCATGAATAAATAACAGAAAAAAATCTATGGCACGATAACAAAAAAATTGAATAATTTTCAAAAGTAACAATTAATAAATTATAAAGAGTAGTAAAATTAAGATGGCGAGGCACTTTCGGTTAGCGTAGTGTCTATTCGATTTTATTCCTCAAAAATTTCTAATTATAATTGGTCTCTCAGAGATTTATTTCATCTAAATGTGCGTAGTGCACTGCTATTGTTTATATGGACTTTAGTATGTATTTTGGGACTCATTTTGAATCGTGATTAGCAATGGATATTCGTTCAGTGGCGTCATCTTTCTTTCACAAATCTGAAGGGCAGTGGTGACCCGCCTGTATTTTTATCACTAAGTGCCTCTGTGGTAAAAAATTAGTCCAGTCCCACTAAGCCAATTGAGTGAGCCCAGTTAGGAACGGTGAGTGCTCTCTAAACTCGATCTCTTTTGTTAAATCATTTTCCTTGGTTCGATATTGCATAAAATTTCATTTCAATTTAATTTCGCAAAATTATTTTTTTTTAATTTCGAATTTCCTTTGTGGAATTAAAAAAAACTTAATAATTTTGGACGGAATTCGATGCAAATTGGATCCTTATACATCCTTGATCCTTGTTTAATTTTATACAAATATTTTGCGATTAGCATTCACCATTTCTGGTCAGGGTAATCTCTCTGGTGCTAATTAGGAATTTGCGCCAGAGGGTCAATTGGCGATAGAAGTAGAGATGGGTCGCCATTACCATGTGTATTTCTTAACGGCAGATTTATTTTGTTCTGAGTCAAGCAGTCGGACTTTTAATGCTTGACAGATCGAAGCAACCATACATCTCAACCAATAATATTCCGTTTATTCATGTAACTCAAATTTAAATGATTTTCCTCAATTTTTTTTTCATTTATTGAGAAATTTTCAGAAAAGAATCCCATCGATCTCGGTTTTAATATACACGTTATCAAGCAGATGGCTAAGGCCTTAAAATATATTCATCAAATGCATATTATTCATAGAGATGTAAAAGTGAGTTATTATATTATCATTCAACAAAATAGTTAAAATTAAATTAAAAATTATATCAAACAATTAAAAATATTGGAACGATTAGTAGTTTTTTAATTTTTTAGAAGGGAATTGAATTATATGAATAAAAAAATTATATATTACATAAGTACAAAGAAATTTATATAATTACTTATATATTTATATATAATGAAAATTTTATAAAAGAATAATTCTAAAATTTTGCATAAAATTATGAGATAAAAAACGATTTGCAGCCTGCTAATATATTTTTGCAAAAACGTGATGGAAAATTCCCACATGTTTTACTTGGCGATTTTGGTCTAGCTTGTGTGATTAACGATGAAGCGATGGGACAGTTTGCGGGAACTCCACCATATACGGCTCCGGAACGGAATCGGGGGTCTTATGATTATTTGGTATTTTTTAATTTGGTATTTAAGGAATTTGATAATTTTTTTTTGAAGTGCTACTGATTTCATTATATTTTTTGGCTTTTTTGTTTTAAAGAATGTTTTCTTTTAGGTTGACATCTACAGCCTTGGAATTATTATGATTGAATTATATTATTCATTTGAAACGCTTGAGGAGCGATCTTATGTTATTGGTCGTTTTCGTCTGTTGCAGTTCAATGAACAAGACCAAAATTTTCTGAAACAATTTCCTGAAGAAGTTGGTTGGAAATGTCATCTCAATATAACAATGAATTTTAATTTAATAATTTAATAATTTAACTGATTATAACCTTGACAAAATTGATTTATTAATATGCTTTAACACATTGAGTATTTATAGTAATATTGATTAATGAGAATTGCTTTCTAGCTGAGGAATTTCTTCATCTAAATAATTTTGAGTATTTATTTACAGTCCGAACTTCTTCTTTCAATGTGTTCAGAAAACATAAATCGTCGTCCTAGCTCAGATCAACTTTATAACAGATTATGTGCAATGAAAAGTGCTTTTATTTCTTGTCTAGGGCAAGAAAATGAAAATATGCAAAAGATTGCTGAGTTAGAATCATCATTGAAACAAACCAAGGAGCTTCTGGAATTTTACGAAGCTGAGAACACCCATCTCAAAAATCTTTCTATTTTACTTGGGTTGGAAATACCCTAAGGCATTTTTCCATTTTTATTTCCATGTTTCTTTTTAATTTGATGTCTCTGATCATATTTTTGATCTCATTTGATTTCGTTCATTTCTATCTGATATTATCTGTGCTTCCGAATCGTCGAATAGCCGTTTTTTTGTCGTGGCCATCAATTTTTTTGATTTAGATGATTTTTTTGATTGCTCGGAATTTTTTGCATTATAAGGATGATTGTTAGAAACTTGTCAGTGAGAATAAATAGTTCTTAAAATTTTTTGTTCTACCTGTTTTAATTATTTTGAAAATTTTTGTTAAATTTAATATTTTATTTGTTTACTCAGGTTGAGCAAAAAACAATTTTTTCTGATCAGTAGATTTAACTTATTTTTTGGTTTTAAAGTATTTCCAGATATTAAAATTTTGAAAAAAAGTAAGAATTGCAGTTCGAGCGCATTTTATGACGTTCGATGGAATAATGTTTCTGTAAATTATAAAGGAGGAAATCTCTCAGATTTAGTGGGTTTTTTAATGTTGATTCAATAATTTTAAATATGCTTAAATTTTAATTTTGGGATTTTTAGGATATTTCAGGCTAATTTCCTTGCAAATTTATTTATAAAAATAAATTTTCAAATTTTCAAGTGAAAATTTTTTCATTTTATGGCTGGATTTTCTGGAGAATTTCCGATATTATCGAATATTTTGTATTTATTTATTTCTTTTTTTTGAGTATTTATATTGCAGTTTAAATATGCTTTAATTTGCCTAACATTTGAAAACGACCAACGACGACATTTGGCAATAGAAACGGTAACGATGATGACAATTGTTTTGTGTTAGATGCACATCTGGTGTCACATTTTGAGATTTTCTTATTACCTGATAAGACATCTCTCTTAAATTAACCATCTCACTCATTCAACAATTCATCTTTTTGCCTAATAATTTATATATTTCTTAAATTAAATTGCTTCGTAGATCTCATAGATTTTATATGTTTCAAGTGAAATGATCGTTTGTTTGTGAATGGGTGGCCGGATTTTTTCCCATTGCCTTATCAGTTTCGGTTATCTTAAGTAATGTGCATTGATGCATACCGTATTTACTGTTGTTGTTGGCTGCAATCACTGAATGCTCTTTTTAATTGGTTCGCTTAATCATACTTCGCTTACAGTTCAAATCATTTTCATTCAAAAAAAGTAATGTTAATAAATAAAATAAATTTAACCTACCAAAAAGCTAAAAATGACTAAGAATTTTCGATGTATAATTATATTTGTGAAATGATTTTATTAAGAATAACGTTAGGTTAAAGCACCAAAAAATAGCTGCCGTTTTTATGAAACGCCCTATTAAACGGTTTTATTGTCTTTTTTTAAGTGCTAGCACCATTATTGGTTCAACTTGCTGCACTCGATGTAAAATAAGAGAACTGCTCGTTTTTCCACCGCCTTAGCCCTTATATCACTTAACCATCTTTGCGTTCAAAAAATTGATAACGTTTCGGTAATAAAAATGAAATAGGTGGAAGTACGATTTTTCTTCCTTCTTCCCAATCATCGAACAATGGAACAACAATGAAATTCTTTTTTCTTTTCAGTTTTTGTTTTCATATTCTATAAAAATATGAATCTTTTTTCTATCGATATGAATTTTCTTCTTTTTTTCTTTATTTTGCCTGAAATGTATGATTTTCATTAATTTTTATAGTTGTAAATAGCTGTTATTCACTTTCGACTTCTTAAAACGACAATTGTCGGTGAATGCGATTATTTTACGTTTCTTGCTAATAATATCTTATTTATCATTAAGGAGAAGATGGATGCAGTTTTGGGTTTCGCGAGAAAAGATGTTGAAATAAAAGCGGACGCATCATCGACATTATTAACTGATTTGCATATTAAATTCATCGAAACTTATTTACAAAATCCATTAGTAAGATTATTTTTGTCACTTATCAACTGAGAACTGGTTTCTTTAAAAATTGGAAATTTACAATATTAAATTTCTAGGAATACGTATTAGTGGAGCACCGTAAATTGGGTGGAATATATTGGTGTTTAAATGCAATGGACTTGATGAATAAGCTGGAGGGAGTTAATTGCGATGAAATTGTGCAGCATGTAAAGACATGTCAACAAGATAGCGGCGGATTTTCTCCAGCTGAAAAGCATGATGCGGAATTGTTATATACATGTAGTGCAATCCAGGTATTTCTTTGTTTTTGCTTAGTTTACGTTTTTTCTTTCACTGCATTTAATGTTTGACTGGCTATTATTACTGGCTATTAATAGAATTTTTTAGTCAGAGAAAAGTCTTTTGTGAATAAAAATATTGTTGAGTTCTAGCACCGTCTTGGTTTCACTTTTAATTATAGATTGCTCCGTTCATTGTGCATATCTCTTCCCGAGTACGGTACCACTCAATCAGCTTATTCCTAAGCATTTCGATATTTTAGTCACTGTGCTTCATATTTCTAATGGATATTTTGCGTTTTTTTTCAATATTATTTTTTTCTCAGTAGAATTTTTTCAGATTTCTTTGAAAGATTCTCTTTTTGTCCTTTTGTTTCAATTTCATTCTCAAATTTAATTTTAATTCTCGAATTTAATTTTGTTTAATCGGTTGAATTATTTTTGGATTATTTTACTTTTTTTTTATTTTTCTATTTTCCATTTTCTTTCGTTATTTAATAGTTGATTTGGTCTAATAGTCTAATTTTTCTTAAATCGATTATTTTCTGATATAAATTGCTTCCATGAATGATAAACCCCATAATTTAACCGTGCATGGCATGCATGATACGAAGCGCATAAAAATATTTGACTTTTTAACCACACCTGTCATTTGTTTTATGTGACCGCAATGTGCAGTTATTTCGATTCGTAACACACATATTTTTATATATAATGACGCGCAAGTAAATATTGTAATTAAGTTTTGTCGGCTGGAACAAAGCATAAAATAGCGAAAGTAATTGCGTAATTAGTTCATTTTTAATTTCAACTTATTAATCCATTTTTATTGCATTCATGCGTGCTAACACGCATAATGGTCTTCTTCGCCATTCGTTTCTTTTTTCTCGCAATTTTTTATGGAAATTTGTGTTTCGATATTTCTAAAGATTTTCGCTCCTATTGTTTCTTTATAGTTAGTAAGTCACTAAGTAAATGTGGATTATGTTCATCATTTCTGGTTGGATTCGCCCCGCTGATTACAGTACGGTAAGAAATTTTTGCTAGGGAGCCAGAAATAGAGAGATTATTTGCCAGCATTGCTCGGACAAGTTTACTCTTATCGGTGGCATACCACTTGATTTTCTTTTCTTTATACGGTAGTGGCGAATAAATATTTGAATTTTTAGATTTTGGTCATACTTGATCGACTTGATGAAATCAATAGGGATGCTGTCGCTGAATATGTTTCTTCGTTACAAAATCAGGATGGAAGTTTCGTTGGCGGATTAACCGAAGTTGATACTCGATTTTCATTCTGCGCCATTTTAACACTCTTTTTAATTGTAATTTTTCTATAGTTCAATTTGATTTTACTTTTTTATAATTGAATTTTTTTTCTAAAAATTCACATTTAATGACGATATAGGGCATTGAATCGAATGCAGTTTTAGGTACGAAAAATAAAGCATTAATTAAGAAATGAAATCACGAGAAACTTACGAGATCGTAAGAAAAATCTTTACGGACGAAGAAATTTGCAAAATTTCTTACACTTATACAAAGTAATAGCAGCAGTAATAGCCATAACTCAATTTATCTTATATATTTATCTGAAACTGTATAATTTCTTTGGTTATTATAGAGACGAATGGATGTTATAAATATTCCAAAAGGTGTTGAATTTGTTATGAAATGTTATAATTTTGATGGTGGGTTCGGCACCAAGCCAGGATCTGAAAGTCATGCTGGCCAAGTATGCTTAATTTTATTTCTCCTGTGGAATTTTTTATGAAAAAATTCATCTTTATCATTTCTATTTTTTCTTTCCTTTTTTTATAGGTTTATTGCTGTCTTGGTTTTTTAGCAGTTTCTGGATATTTAGATTTAATTGATACAAATAAAACTGCACGTTGGCTTGCTAAGCGGCAATGTAAATCTGGTGGTCTTAACGGTTTTTTTTTTGTTTTCTCTGTTAATTAATTTTCTTAAAATAATTATTTTTTTTTCTGATTGGCATCTGTTCTTGATTACTTAATTTCATATTTTTACCATATTATTAACCCCCTACATACGTATTTCCTCGTTAATTCTCTAAATAACGTTCATGCTTTTTTTATTATAACAATGGCGACCGCAGCAGGTAATCTTTCTGCATTAATATTTAACGACTTGTAATTGTTATCGAGTAAGATTCTGCAAAGTTCACACTACTTTATTGTTTATATTTAATACAGGTGTCGATATGTGTAGGTCATGACTGATATTACGCTAGTTATGATGCAATATTAGGCGGATAAATTTTAATTAATAGTACTGAAATATAAATTTTGCCTCAGAGATTAGGATTTCATCCAAATTTCAACTTACTTCTTGCAACAGTAGTCTTTAGAACAGAAACGGATAATTTACAAACTGACAAAATATTAGATGATAGATGCCAGTGAAATACTATTAAAATGTAAGTTATTGGCTAAGTATTTAAATCCGTTGCAATGATCAAATGTGCGTCGAGAGATCTCTATCTAATTTCCATGATGACATTCCATGATAATTATGATTTATTGTGGAAACATTTTCTTCTTTCCTTATCTTGATTATTGTATCTTTTGCCTATCTATTTTGACCCCCTAAGTCGCGTGCCATTTAACAGTAAATTTTCTGTTATCTTTTAAATATTTAAACTGTCTTTCTTCGATCTTTTATTTATTACTTATTTTGTTGGAGGTCGGCCTGATAAACTTCCTGATGTTTGTTATTCGTGGTGGGTACTTGCTTCACTTGAGATTATTCACTGCCTTGATTGGATTGACAAAGTTAGATTTTTTTATTTTTCTCATTTTATCTAAATTTCATCTCTTCTAATGAAATTTATTTTTTATAATAGATGTAATAGTTTATGATAAAGTCATAATTAATATTCTGTATAACTATCGAATGGTGAATAATTTAATTTTTGTTTTCGTTCTTTTTTTGACATCAAAACTAGTTTCAGAAAATCTTTATCATCATAATTTCAGATGCAATTCCCGTAAGTTTGAGTAATTGATTTTATCATAAAAAAATTCATAAAATCATTTAGAAATTTTAAGGCACTGATAAGACGGTTTATATTAGCTTGTCAAGATAAGCAAGAAGGAGGAATATCAGATCGTCCGGGTGATGTTGTAAGTTTAATTTTACGTTAAATTTTCAATATTTCTAATATTTCAATAAGAATTTAGAGAATATTGAAGATTTTAAGGTTATTGTTCAATAAATTTATTAAATAAATTTCAGAAATTTTTTTCAGCCTGATCCATTTCATACTATATTCGGTTTAGCTGGATTGAATTTATTGGGAGAAATCTCATTAGCTGCGATTGACCCAGTTTTTTGCATGACGAAACGATCTCTAAAAAATTATCGTTTATAAAATTTGTTTGTATACGTATATATTATTAATTGTCATTTATGTCATTTTGTTGATTAATTTCTCGTTTTTTATGCTAAGATGGCTTCTACATTATTGTAGTTGGAGGTAGAGGTTCGGTTGCTAGCTAAACCTGCATAAAAAATGGTATAGAAGGCGCTGATGACCCATTTATATTTCCATTGCCAAGTGGCTTCCTCTTAAAAATTTCTCACCGTTCTTATAGGCTAGCAAACCGTAACCACTTTTCCTTATTGCATATTTTTACAACCATTCCTATCTTATTTTGGTAATTTTATTATTATTTACTAATTTCGTTGAAATAAAAAATTGGTGAAGTTTTCAGAAAAGCATTTGCGATAATTTTCTGTTATTTAATATTCATCATAAATGTACCATATGGTATTTGATGATTTATTTCAGAATTGTTCCATTGTAAAAATGATCACCATCTTTCTCATTTCTTTGCTTAAAATTTCCCTCTTTAAGTTTTGTCAGTTTTGTATATTTTGATTAATCTTAAATAATTTAATATGATTTTGCGATGTAAACCGCTTAAATATATTGTCTTTCTTCTATGAAATATATTTTTCAGTGTTTTTTGATGTTTAGATTATTTATAAATTATTTTAATTTTTTAAAACAAACTTATTTTGTTGTTCAACATCGTAAATTTAATAATAAGAATTTGGTCAATAGCCAGTTGCTCTTCCAACATTTTCATGCTATTTTTTTTTGAGAGCCCTCACCATTACTGATTACCGGACAAATATGCTGGGGAAATATGCTCCCTTGGCGATACAAGTACAAGTGAATCGCCAGCACCACTCGGACTCTTGGACAGGTGCACTCCCGCTGAAGGGGTAGAACTTAAGCACAACTTGAGTACCGGCATTCCAGATCGATCAACGACCTATTGAATCATTCTGCCCCTTACTTCCATGCCACTGTGATGTTTTTTCTTAAAAGACTGTAGAATTAAGGCTATTTATGAGGATAATGAAAATAGTACATTAGTGCGAAGTCATTATGCACTTTGTACAGTTCGTTTCTATTAATTAGATATAAGCAATTAAAATTACTTATTCAGCTACTACCATGTTTGTCATAATATGATAACATCAATCTATAATTCAAACGTCGATAAAAAAATAAAAATGGACGCAAAATAAATCAAATTTGGCAATTAAGGGTGATAGGGTGATTGGGTGATGCAAGCAACCTTAGTTTTATTCCTTTAAAGCTTAGTTCCAAGCTACAAGGGGAATTAAATTGAGTTAATTAATTTAGGTGTAGTGATGCAAAGTCGTGAAATAATTGCTTACCAAATAAATATGCATATGCAAATACTCGATGGAAAGTTGCTTGCATAATATGATGCATGTCAAATTCCTGTTCGAGTATTAACAGAAATAAGTTTTTTGCTGATACACCTGTAAGCACATACTACTGGAAATTTGATAAAATACCATATTCGAAAAAATTGGAGAAAAACACTCTGTGCCATTTTATTCTATGATATATGTAAATATGATTTCAAAAAAGCAATGGACTATCAGCACCATATCACTATCACCCGAATTTTTTTAATTAGAGGCTTATTCCTATCGAGAAAGAAATTGAACCATTACCTCTCAACAGATCTCAAAACGGCAATTGGAACCACTGTCTGTCCTATGATCATTCGTCATTCCAAATGTACCGATATTTTATATTTATATTAACTACAAATATGTTAATACGATACGGACTTATGGTGAATTAAGAATTATAACTGTTATGGTCGCTATTTATCAACAATAAAATAGAAATAAAGATGACACGGGTATAGGACAATATTTTTCTTCCTCTCTTTAATTACATCCTTTTTTACAACAAATTCATTCATTCATTTATTCCTTCGTTTCAACTGTCGTTGACCTGTTTTCCTTTCTTTTTTTTTTTAAATTTCTGTTATATATAAATCGTTCGTCTTAACAATTTTTTTTCAGATTTTTATTGACTTTCGTGTTTTTTTCGGCAAAAACATTTGAAGCGACACAATTCAAATCATTATTCTAAAATTTTTTTAGGAAATTCATCGAAGGATAAATTATTATTGACAATTATTTGATGTAGAAATATTGGTTAGGTATTTGGTATTTAATGATATCTGTCGAATATTGGTTTATTGGCCGAAATATTTTATAGACCAAATTTAGAACAATCTAAGAATTGTTGAAGGGATCGAATGATCAAGAGGTACGTTGTGTATCGATTAAGGTCAAGCCATCGCAGTCTTTGTCCATCCACGAAGATAGATTATGAAATGTCTGAATGGTGCTGTAGAAATATCTCTCTTCACGAATGGTTCTTTAGTATAGCATTGTAATAGCCAAATAAACTTGAAATGGTGAGTGTTGTTCAAATAAGCTTTTATAGTTATCGCACTGAGGCTACTTTATTCGGATAAAAAATTGACAGCTTTTTTTGTCAATCGCTAAGGTTTATTGGCATTTATGGCTGCATTTGACATTAATTATGATCAATGATCAAAATATATCACCAACTACTTGCTACCAATGTATATCGCTGTTCCAGTGAGATATTTTGCAATTTATACCAACATTGAAAATCCTTTAATCTTATTCTTTTCTCTTATATTTGCTATAAAATGTTACCAAAGAGGCAAAACAAGGGAACTGAGTGTGAAGCACAAGCACAACATTAATCAACGCATATAGTTTTTAATTCTGTCCAGGATATCTTCAATCCAGATATAACCTAAGACACGTTTTTTTTCTGGATTGTACATTGTAAAGAAATTTAAAAAAGTATTCGATGCATCCAAAAAGGAGCGGTATTCATTTTTAATATATTCGAGCTAAATGTATTCAAATATTGTACTTCTCGCACTTTCCCGAAAGTGCATATTTATTATCTATAAAATCGCATGGTACTTGATATATGCCAGTCATTTTTGCTATGGTAGTCGGTCAAAGCGTCGGGGAAAAAATCCAAATCTTAAAAAACTTTAAACAGTTATTTGTATTTTTTTCTTAGCCACTTAATTCGTTGCTAGTAGCTTTTTCTTCAGATTGTTGTTGTTACTTACAATATTTTGTTGTTTTTTGTAACCCCTATTCTCATAACTGCAAAGGCTATGAAGCAAATTCCAAATTTTGCTAAAACACCATAAGATTTTCCAAGGCTACAGAAAACGTAACTTCGTTATACCTAAAACTGGAATTATTCAAGAATACATTTTCAATATATCGTGAAATCCGTCACTGCCTCCTCTTTTCTTCATATTTCTAAATTTTGGGCTAAGCTATCTTACCGAAAAACCATTTGTGAAAAGGTACAGGTGAATTATTAACATTACCCAGGCGACGCAGCAATAAAAAAATAGAATTGACAAAAAGTTGGCTGAGGAAGACGTTGGCATTTTTGAGCTAAAACGAAGAAAATAAGAGAAGCGATAATTTTGTCTTTTGGATTTCACTGAAGTTTCTTAAATGTTTGAAGATTTTAGGTTGGAATTACAACAGAAAAATTACAGTATGATATTTATGTGATAGGGCGGGTCGTTAATTTATTTAACGGTTCCGCCTTATTTCGTAAGATGGCTCATCACGACGAACTCGAATGATATTAGAAGACAGAAGATGACAGTCAGATTTTGATAATGTCAATGGGATGGCAGTTCACTCAACAAAATCCGCCTCCACCAAATTATATTCCTACGTCAAGCTACAACTCCAATTATCAATCTCCTCCAGTTGTAGTTAATGAAAATTACTGGAATATAAGGTATTCATTTTTTCAATTTAATTTCTTAAAATTTTGCAAGAATAGTTGAAAAACAAGTGGCAGCGCACTGGTTCTACCATTTTATCCGATATTTTAGCGGAATAGGCGGTTGGATATCTTGTTGAAACAATTTGGTTCCTAACTTCGATCGAAATCGACCTTCTATTAGAAAATCCGAGTGCACTACCCACCCATCCGCATTTCTGATGCCAAGTAACTAGTCGGCATAAAGCCATAGCAGCCATAAATTTTCTAGCATCAGAGTCTAAACGGGAAAGATAAGATGGAAAAGCTATTTATTTGGCTTCATTTTTCTTAATTTGGAATTTTAAATTTTTAAAATTTTCCAAAAAATATCCATTTTCATCAATTTCTTGGTAAAATGCGAGGATTTTCTAACATATTTAGACCTTTTTGGGGTCAAATGATCTTCACTTTTCTTTATCCTTTCAATCCTTTCAAATTATGATCTGAAACTTTTCTAAATGCATTTTATATGGATTGTAAGGCAAAATTAGTAAAATTAGTGATATAAAAAGTATTTCTCGTTTCATTTTTTCTTTCTCTAGCTGTATCACTTCTGATTAGTTCTACTTGCCATTGATTAGTTCTACTTGCCATTAGGGTTACTTCTTTCCTGAACAGAATTAAAGGAGGATCCACAACCCAACCTGATTGTAGTTTTATTCCTAACTAGAAATTATTGTGCTTTAATCAAGTCAAAGCAATGCCATTATTCTGTCTTTTCAGATATTTTCATTTTTCATTTTACGGTCTTATGATTTATCTTATGATTTTATATTTTTTTGAAAATTTTTTTAAAATATTATTAGAAAGAAATAAGCAAAACACATTGCTATAAATATGCGTTATATTAAATATGCATTGCGACAAATTTTCGGTGTATTTTAAAAAACCTGTTATTTATAAAGAATGCCAAAATATGATACAGTTGTCCTATTCATTTGACATTCCCTTTCCATGGATTTTTTTATATTCTCTGTGACCTTTATCAATTTATAGCTCATTAAAAGGCTTTTGAAATATTCTGTGACAAAGGCGCAGAATTTCCAGCGAATAATAATTCGTGTTGAAATTTCTAAGCGGCATTAAGCTGAAGCTTTCCTAACCAAAAATGGCGAGATTAACCACTTGCTTAAATGTTAAGTAACAATGGACAATGTTTTCTTCTTCTTTTGGCGATAAAGTTCATCCAAATTTCTTGCCATTTTTTTCAATGCTCTCTAAATATTTGCTTTAAATTTTTATGTTTATGTGGCTCTTTAATTTTTTCTAATTCCTTTCTTCATTTATTTATAATTTTGTTTCGCAAACTTTTCTTCTATTTTTCAAATTTTCTGAAAATTTAAGTCTGAAAAATCAAATGCCAATATTATTTTAATCAGATCGCTCATTCGATTCCTGTCTCTCTCGACACTTGTACTCCTTTTTTGGTGTTTTCCATTTTTATACAATTAGCTATAATTAATGCTTCTCTTTAAAATACACTAAAATTTTAATCAGTTAGAAATAAAGAAATTTTCAGTAACAAAATTTCATAAAATGAAAAAAAAATTATTAGAACGCGAATCGTTTTTCTTCTAATAGAATTAATCAATTGGCCTCATTATTAGTTCATTTGGATTCATTTCTATGCTTTTGCAGTATTTTTTCATTTTCATTGACATTAGGGCGAGAGACTTTCGCCAGAACTATTTAGGAAATTTAGAATGGATCGCCAGTACCATTTGAAGAAAGCATTATTATTATTTTCAGTTCATTGCAAGGTAAAGATGCTTAAGAATTTGTCATTTTTTACCATTATTCTTTTAGAGCGATTAAGAATGAAGAAGAATCGAAAAAAGGGAAAGGATCACGGCGTTATAAAACTCCAAGTCCACAACTTCTTCGTATGAGGCGTCAAGCAGCAAACGCGCGTGAACGTCGTCGAATGAACAATCTCAATGACGCATTTGAACGGGTTATAATCCGAAATGCTTAATAAAAATACAGGACAAAAATACTTTAAAAATTTCGCGAATTTTAAAAAAAATCTATTTTGAACCACATTTTATTTCTTATAAGAATTTTGAAGAATTGGTTTAAGAGAATATTTTTTTACCAAATCTTTTAGCGATAAATGCCGACAATTCAGTGTTAACTCTTTTTTGAATTTCTAATAATGTTTTTAACTTTATATTAATTCGTTACGCTAAATTTATTGCTTTTTTATTTCTGATATTTCCTTATTTTTAAAAATTTATTATTTATTTTATTTACCAAGCAAGGCAAAATACTGAAAAGGTGGTTAGCAATCAACATTTCTGGTTATGTTAGCTCTACGGGTTTTCAGTAAAATGCGAAATTTGTGCCATAGATTCTAAGAATGAAGTGCTGGCGGATCGTTGGAACCCGATTCTTTTCATAAATAAGTTCTATTCTAGGCAATTTCCGAACATGGTTCTCCGTGCGATAATTTGAGGGACAACTGATCAGCAATCTACAACTGTTTATGCTAATAAAACGATTAAAGCAATAAAAAAAAATAAATATTTTAAATGTTATTAAAATGATATTGAGATATTAGTATATTTTGGAAATGAGAATTCAATATTAAATAACCAATCTGGTATTGGTAAATATATGTTGGCAAGCACCTGCACTTCTATCGATGGTTCAAAATTTTTTGACTAATTTTTCTGACTATGCTACAGATAGTACAACCAGGCTAACCAGAAGTGGCGAACGCTAACCAATTAATATATTTATTACGCATTTATTATTCACCACTAAAAATCATTTCGAGCAGTTGGATTGGATTGATTCCAAATAACAACATAATCCATTCTTTATTCCATATTTTTTTGCAGTATTTTTAATTGTCTGTCATAAATTACCAAAAATTAAAAATCATGAAAAACGTAAAATTTTTTGGAATCATTCAATGGTTTTCATGTCAGCTGTAAAGGGTTGTTAAATTAAGAAGATATTGCTTTATTTTCTGAAATTCTTTAGATTTTCCAAAAAAATTTTGAAAAAATATTGATTTCAAAATCAAATTTAATTAAAAATTAGAAAATAGAACTGGAATTCTTAGCTGATTTTACTCGCTTTGCTCACTAACTTTAGAAGTTTCTGAGCCTCCAAATTCGATATCATTCCTGAAAATGAATATAACCGCTCCTTTTTCCATAGTCTAAGCCGATAGAACGTTGAGCTGCTTATTTTTTTCAAAATCTCCACTGAGTATATCAGTTCAGATGGTAGTTCGGCTATTTAGCAAATAGCAAGATTTCTATCAATACTTGTGGTGGGCAACGAAACCAGCATAAATGAAACTTATTGATGCAAGTGATCCTTGTTGTAGCTTCGAACGATGGTGTATTCATGTGCGAATATGTTTATTTTAAGCGTGTGTAAAATATAAGTCAAAAAGGGTAAAAGCGGATAACTTCTTGATATCTCGTTGGCTAGTTTCATAATCATTTAGTATAGTTTTTTGGGTACTACAACCAGTTAGATGCGAATCTTCGAATTTCGCGGATTCCAGAGAAATTTCTCCAGAAATAAGATGCATCTGGCTGCAGCCATTCTATCTGGAATTTTAACTTTCGCCTGGCCATTGGGTGTGAGAGCGAATGAGGCGAGATATTTGTTGTTTGACATTTCTTAACTGCATTTATATAAATTATAAATATTTTATCTCGTCTTACTTACATTGATTTGAAGGCCAATTTCTGCTGCGACCGCCACTCGGTCTAGCATCTGTTATAGTTCTTTAAAAGATTCATTAACTACAAACATAACTGTCAGCGAAAAGAATAACATCACTAAAATATTCAAAGTTTATCATACTATACTCTGAATTGATTGGCATATCTCTTGAGTATCGACAAACAATGCCACAAACAATGTCAATCTATTGCATAACTGAAAATAGTACGGGAGAGACGCATTTTTGATGGTACGTTTTTGAAAAGACTGAGTTAATTCCTTATACATACACTTGCCGCTGATTACATCAATAAAATGCTTTGATGAATCTGATTTACTTCTGAGAAACCATCATGTTCCATGAGCATTGCCCTGTTGATCTAATCAAAGGTAGCGGTAAAGCCAACGAAATACGTAATGATAAGATCTCGAAAATTAAAACGATGTTTTAATAATCTTCATTGTAGCATAGTTACGTCCTCGTCTAAATTCGGCTTAATTAGGATCCATATTGCAATCACGAGCTGTCGTGATTTTTTCTTCGATGCACCGTGAAGGACAATGGGTAGCATTCGAATTGCAGTTCATCTCGCAGATCAACTTATCTTGTTTTATTGGTCTAAAGCTTGTGAATTTTTTCGTGCTCGATTACATATGAAATATAAAAGTTATATATAAATATTCAGAAAATAGAATTAATAGAAATTATTAGCGTAAATAGATAATTATATTAGCTTCACTTGTACATTGAAAGTTTTTTGCCATAGAGTTCTGGTAATAGAAGTACGTGTGTTGTTAGTACCACCCAAATGTAAAAAAAGAGCCCCAAAATCCCATAATGGATAAATAAAAAATCCACCATGCAATCGGAATTTCGATTTGAACCAATATCATTGCTACAAATAGCCGACTTTTGCTACCTCCTCTTTCAAAATCACTTCGAAATAGAAGTAATTAAATTTTTTAACTTATGACGATATGAAATTATTAAGATAAATATAAAAGCAAGTGGTCACCTTTGATTACGCTAGCTCCGTTGGTACTTCCTTAAATAATACCTCTCTACTTTAATTTAATAGGAAAAAAGATTTATGTGGATCTTGCCACAAATCAAGGAATTTTCTTTTTCCACTCAACTTTGTATTCGTTAAATACAGTCCGATTAATATTTTATATTGGGAATAATTTCATATAATACTTTTTTCAAATTTAAAAATAATTTTATTTTAGTTGCGAACTGTACTTCCTGAAATGAGTAGTGGCAGGCGATTATCAAAGTTCGAAACACTACAAATGGCTCAACAATACATTGATTGCCTTGCAGAAATTTTGAAAAAATCTAAAACCAAATAATTCACATTTTGTAAATAAAAAAAAATAAATTCCCGTTTTCAAATTTTAATTCATTAATTGTTTTTTTGACGAATTGTTCTTGCGAAAACCGATTGCAAAAAATTTTTAAGAATCTCTATATTGGCATCGCTTAATATTACTTGTTCGCATCACAAAAGAAATGCTTGAATTCAGTCGAAGCGACATATCACTCGACCATTCCGCCGCCAGTCCCACTTGCCTGCTCTGTTGAGAGATAAGCTCAACATTGACACTCGGCGGTCTGAACTACTAAGAGTGACTATAAAATGACGATGTTTCGAATGAAAGGAAAAAACGATTCGCATTTATCATAGTCTTTAATGGCTTTTTATTTGAGATTTAAAAGTACTGATAATAATTTAATAGAAAATAAATTTAAAAAAAAGTTCAATAAATTCTGTGAAAAAAATTAGGACATTTATTGGATATAAACTAAAAATAAATGCCACACGCGAACCGCGCATATTTTCAAATTTCTTTTTTTCATCTTTTAAAAGAAAATAAACATTTTTCGAAATTTTGGTATTTAGCCCGATTTTCGAAAAAGAAAGCAAAAATACTTGATGAAAGAGAACATCCTAGTTATTATCATGAAAGTTACAGTTATAGCCGTTGCTCAGCTCCAATGGAGAGAGGCCAGCAGAATGGATAGCGGTTTGACAAATCTTGGAAGGGAACTGCCACCTAACATTTCTATCAAACCAATTAATTTTGAATTGATCTAACATCAATTAATTTCGAAATTCGCAAATTGAGAATGAAATAAATTTTCTAATTTGACATGTAAATGATGCGATTTTCGGTTTTTCCTAGAGTGTTCAGCGATGGCAGACTTTTAGGGTATGCAAATAATTTCTGGAGACAATTCAACATAAGTGCACCTCAAAGATGCACCTTATAACCAACTTCCCTCCACAGGTGCTTTTCTAAATGAAATAGAGTTCGACCCCAGGAAATCCTATGCAGATTCTGTAGAAGAGTTCAAAAGGTAAAAGGTAAGTCATTAAAAAATGAAAAGAATTCAACAAGTAATCACTGATTATGTTTTGGGCACATGTCCTTCGCTGTTATAGCGAAACAAATTCTTATCCTGTGGCAAATTTTTACCTGATGTGAAAAAATCAGAAGCGTCAGCGGAACATTTGAACTCTTTCATTAAAACGTAAATCATATTTTGAAATTCACCGGTAAGGCCATTCTCTGTTACCGAATTAATCCACTATAGCTTCTTAAGACATAATTGTATCTAAGCTATGCAATGACGAATTGGTTGCTTGAAACTAGAAACACAGAAACCCCGTTCAGTAGAGGAAATTCCATCGTTCTGCGTGGCAACACCTAACGCACATCACAGAAATTAATACAATAATTTCTCTGGGTGTCGTCTACAGTCCTAAATCATCTACAATACTCCCAACTACTTCGCGAAAAGTTTCATTTTTTTCATCTCTCGAGAATTTGAAAAAGGGGATAAAAGCACCTTGAAAGCGCTTTCCACCAATTTGTTAGTTCCAGAGAACTGGTATTTTGAAAATTTCAATGGAACTGTATTTATAAAGGGACCAAAAAATGAACTTTCATAAGGTTCTTGGGAAAAATGATTTTAGGCAAGGTTGATTCGCAAACTTTTTATTGCATTCACGAAAGGCAGAACGACGATTTCTTTAAGATCCAGCAATATATTACTGCACATCATACAGGCTTGCAAATTCAGTGGTAGGGTAAACTAAATTTGCGGTGCTAAAGTCCATTGATAAGCAAAACTATAAAATCGTTCATAGATAATAATATGAAATCCAATGTTTGATGAAGCTATAATTTCCTAATTCTCATCACCGGAGGGAAAATTTCCTGTGCTTAGACGAGTCCCACAGGTTGCTGGAAAGAGAATCTCTTTCGCCACAGAATCACTTAAATGCAAGATGACTTCAAGGGTAGTTAGAAAGTTTGGCAATAAAATGCAGTAATAAATTCAGTTGCACTCTCCATTGTCCTCACTGCACTCTAGCGAGCACAGTTCAAGAATCGGAGTGAGTAGGCGATCCACCTGTCACCTCGTTACCTTTATCACCAAATAACTGCCTGGTAAAAGTAATCAGACAAGTAAGTACATGGATACTCCTGAAATTTTCCGGAATTTTTTCTCGAATTCATTGCCCATCTGTTGCAAATGAATGCGAAAATGGTTAATGAAGCATTAGGTGATAATTAAACGATTAAAACAGATGGAAATGAACAATATTGACGATAAAAGAAAAATTAGTTGCACAATTGCAGAGTTGACCTTTGTTGACCTTTTCTGATCTTTTCCGACAAAACAAGATAAATAATGAAAGATTAAAATGTATTGCGGTCAAAGGTTACTGATTAAAGGCTAAAGATTAAAAACTGAACCGCGTTACTATTTGAAACGCTGGTTCTCATCAAGATTGTTTTCTTACGATAATTGTTTCAGTGTGGATTCCGTCGTTTCTGCTTTTTATTTAGGAATGCGTTTTGCCTCAGTCTTTAGGTTGAAGGCTCTGTATGTTTTAAATTAGTTCGTTGAATAAACATATATCCCTGGGTGCTTCTAGGGAAAATCTCCGTCTGGATGCATTGCGTTTGCTCACCTGAAATTAAGAGTCGCTTGGAGGTAAAAGTACAGGCGAGTACCACCATCTTTCCAGGATTTCATTGTTGTTGCTGCCGAACAGATTTTCGGTAATTTCAGAATTTATAAAATTAATTACCACATCATTTTTTAAGAATATGCCTCGTATCGAATATGAATTAAAATTAGATTTCAAGGACGTTTTATTGCGACCAAAACGGTCAACTTTAAAGAGTCGCGCCGACGTCGATCTTACACGAGAGTACGTTTTATTCATTTAATAATTACTCGCATTTATAAATTTATTGAAGGGTCATAGGTCATTATCATAAATTTGTTGTCGTTATTTGCCGCATATAGAATTCATTTTTTGATATAATCTAACCATTAAGATACTATTTATGGTTAAGGTCAGTACCATCCAGTTTAAAATTTGGCTGTTTTTGTTCTAATTCATTCGCGTTTTTATCGCGAAAAGAAAGCGTATACACACTTTATCTTTCGCTGGTAATGCGCTGTTAATATTATCATTTTTATACTTGTTATTATTTCTGTTGTTATCATTTTTTCCTGAGAGCCCTTTCAAGTTACGCTGGATTCGCTGTCTTGTTGGACCAGGCAAATTTTGCAAGGAAATTAGTAATGATAGAAGTGCAGATGGGTTAACAGCACCACTCGGTTTATATCCGCACTGTTGTTATTATTTATTTGTTATTATTATTTATTTTTACATTGATTATTTTATTATCATTATCGATATCTGTTACTGTTTTATTTACGGATGTTATTGCAGGTATTATTGTTACTTTATAATATTCCATATTAGTGATAAAATTGGTTGATTAAAAATTTTTAATTTTTTAATTTTTTTAAATAGCGCTTGTTCGATTTCAAAATTCTACTTGTTCTTTTAATAACTGCTGACAAAAATTTTTGACCTACTTGGAGCCAGCAAAGTGCGTATATGCATGGCTGGGAAGGGAACTTTAGCCACTTACTTTGCTTTACTTTCATCGAAGAATCCGATGTATTTTTATTTTTTTTTAGTTCTTTAATTTACCATAAATAAAAACAATTATTCCTTCTTTATGAAATAATTAGTTAAACATTGTTCCGATGAAAGGCTGTGAGGTGATCGTTGAATTTAGATCGAAATAAAATTTTGTGACTGCGTACTTTAAATTTCCACGTTTCAAATTTTTTCCTGTCTGTTGCGATTTGAATTTAATGTATTTTTACAGTGAGACAAGTTCTGTTTTTTACTATGTTTTTTCGCAAAAATAGAGAATTTTAGAGGTTTTAGAAATGAGATTTCAGGTTTGTATTTCGCAACTCTAAAAAGAAATATGAAGGCATCCCAGTTGTGGCCTCCAATATGGATACAGTTGGTACATTTGAAATGGCTGAAGAACTTTCGAAACATTTACTTTTTACTACAATACATAAGCATTATACGGTTGAACAGTGGCTTGATTTCACTCGGCGTAATTCGAATAATTTGAAGGTTTTTTTATTGAATTAATTTTTTTATTTGATTATTACTATCTGAATTTCGTTTAATTACTATCTGAATTTATTTAATTACTATCTGAATTTCGTTGATTGTTTTGTGGTTCAAAAAGTTTTTATTATCGAAACTTAAAATTCAATGATTTTTTTGAGTTTAAAGTTTTAAAAATTTTCATTTCTGCTTGATAAGTTTGAGATGCAGACGTGGTTTTGATTTTTTAAGCAGTTAATTTTGATTCTCAACTGAACTGAACTGAACAAAATTTTAAAAAATTATGGTAATTAAAAATTGGTTATTTTTTCAATATTATTGTGAATTTTCACAGATATTTAATTAACAGCCTTCTTCTAACAGCTCTCCTTAGACTCTCCATGAATTGTCAAGGGTAGATAGCTTTTTAATATCCTCCATGGCTATGTCTCATAGGCATATAGCAAGATCAAGTGAATCGCAGTTATATAAACATGGAATTTCGTTTTAGTATTGATTTCGTGACGAGTTCATAAAAATTTCATCAATCGGAAGAAAGCTTTTCTAGTTATCATTATCATCCGGATCGCAATTTCATCTTTCACTTGACTGTTTGGATTAAAGTGGATCCAAGATATTTAAAGTTTGGCACCTCCTCATCCAGTAATGAATTGAAAAAAATAGGTATTTTATCAGCTTCTTGCAAATGAAATAAAAAGCCTTTGATCCTGAGTCCGATTCTCGCTGCAGTTGTTGACATTATTTGTATATCGTCCTAATTATCAACAAAAAGAACTATATCATCATCATCAGGACTATATATTATGCTCTGGACTGATTTGTATACCTCTTCAATCCCGATAAGCGATGTCCATTATCCATTATCCAATCTATAGCATAGTTGAATATTGTAGGAAACGCAGCCTTGGCTGACACCAGTTCTTATTTCGAAAAAATCCTCATATACACAGATCTGTTCCGATGTGCTCTGATAAACCCCTTTATGAGGCGAATGATCTTCTCTGGAATATCGTCACATTCCATCATCCTGCAAAGCGATGACATATCAATTGAATCGAAGAGCTACGAAATTGGTTAAAGACCTAACGATAGGTTGCAGATATTTGAAGCGATGTTCCAATTTGAAACAATAATTTCTTGTATTATTTCTTATATCATTTCTTCAATATTAGTTTATACAATACAATAATTATTAGTATCAGCGATCGAGCAGCTTGGAAATATCTTGTGGCCAGCAGAGCCAGCCTAACCCCTAGTGGGGAAAGCTGTTAGAGAAATAAGAAATTTGCAACAATAATTTAATCAATACAATGTAATAATGTTATTTAAGACTGTAAAAATGAAATTTTTGTAGGTTTTTTCGCAAATTGCTGTCTCAACGGGCATTGCAGATAATGATTGGACAAAGTTGAATGCAATCTGTAACGAGATATCTGCATTAGAATATATTTGTATTGATGTTGCGAATGGTTATTCTGAGTCATTTGTTGATTTTATACGTAAAGTGCGTGAAACTTTTCCAAATCAAACAATTCTTGCTGGAAATGTAGTAACTGGTGAAATGGTCGAAGAGCTCATTCTTACTGGAGCGGATATTGTTAAGGCATAAATATTTATCCTTCCCAACTTGCATTAAATTTTCTATAGAATTTTTGGAATTTCCTTCATATAAATTCATAAAAATTCATTTTAGCTTTTTTTACACCTTAATTTAATATTTTAAATTTAATGAAAAAATTCATAAAATTATTGTGATTCAATTATTTTATTCAAAATTTGTTTTATTTTTGACTTATAATTTGCAGTTTTTCATTATTTCTATTATTTAGTATACATATAGTGTAATTTGTTTATTTTTATTTTTATTTTTTTATCATTATGCTTAAAATATCTCGTTATTTTTTGATTATTAAATAATAGTTCCTTTGTTTTTGCTCATAAATCTGAGATATTTAGCAAAAATTACTTTTGCAAATTTTAGGTTGGCATTGGTCCTGGATCGGTTTGTACTACAAGAAGAAAAGCTGGTGTTGGATATCCACAGTTAAGTGCAGTATTGGAATGTGCTGATGCATCACATGGCCTAAATGGGCACGTCATGAGTGATGGTGGATGCACGAATTCGGGTGATGTTGCTAAAGCATTTGGTGCAGGCGCTGATTTCGTTATGATTGGAGGTTTCATATTTTGTCTTAATTATCAGCATAAATAATTAAAATATATTTAAAAATATATTTCTTCTAGGTTTGTTTGCTGGTCATGCCCAATGTGGTGGGAAAATCTTCGAAAAAGATGGAAAAAAATACAAATTATTTTATGGAATGTCTTCAGATACTGCAATGAGAAAATATCACGGTGGAGTTGCAGAATATCGCGCTTCAGAAGGGAAAACTGTCACTATACCTTATAGGTAAATTCTAACTAGAAATTCATGTTCTTTATTTTGCTGGTTTTATTTTTTCTCCTTTCAAATGCAGCTTTTTTTGAGTTTTTTGTGATGAAAATGATTATTTTCAGAGGTGATGTGTCAAAAACAATTCAGGACATTTTGGGTGGATTACGCTCAGCTTGTACTTACACTGGTTCAATTAAACTTAAGGAACTTTCAAAACGCGCTACTTTTATAAGGGTTAATCAACAACTCAATGATCAATATACGGGTCTGGAAATTCCTATACAATCACCTTATATTAATATATAATATTAGTTGTTCTTCTAAACATTTATTGACAATCATTCTCAGGCTCTTCATTCATTTTTGTTCGCAGTTGACATTGTGGTCTTATCTTATTGCTAAATCAAATAACTGATTATTGCTAGTTGGTCTTTTAAAATAATTTTTCCATTATAGTTAAAGCAGGAGTATTTAATATTTCAAAAGATGTTGTATGATAAATAAATTATCTATTGGAATTACAAAGAGGGTATTTTATTCTTGGTCCATTAAAACATATGCTCTTAGGAAATTTTCGTTTACTATGAAATATTTGGAATAGTCTAACCATTTTTTTATCAGTCTTTATCAGTCTTTCATTTTAATCTGGGCTTACATATATTCTATACTTTATCCTCAAAATTTTTGCTTCATACTTAGAGAATTAGTTAAATTTTAATGAATATTACTTAATGCTGTATTGATAAACATTTCGGTACTTTGCGACTCCACTGACTTGATGATAAACATTCGAGTACATTTTCAGAATCGAGACGATAATTCGACGATGTACAATAGTAAACTACACGATCTCCAACAAGGTAGTATGACCGTTCTGGCGATGTAGTATCTCCATGTTCTGGTTTGCCAGGGAAGCGACAAAATGGAGTGCCTAAAAGTTTTCCTTGCAAGATAAATTGTGCAAATCATTAAGTTCTTAAATCCGAGGAGTATTTATATCTAGGTTTTACAGGGAAGCAAAAGTTATATTCAAAATGTATTTAAAAATTATATGTTGGTGTGAAAGTGGTTGGGGTCACCAATTTATATTATTTATTCGACTACGGAGTTAAATAATGAATTGGCCAACATTTTATGGAGGCGGTGGTCCAATTGCCATTTGTTTGACATTGCATGTGGTCACTACCAGTAAGCATAAATCCTGGTTTGCATTCGAAAAAAACGATGTCTTGAACATTGTAAATTGGTTTCAGCGGGGAGGTCGCCATGCTACCTGATGGCAAAACAGGAGGCGGACACACAACGACTAAGCAAAGGTCAAAAATATTAAAATATTAGTCAAAAAATCATTTTTTTGGGAATCAAATTACTTTTTTACTCTTTTATAAACCATGGCTGGTGGCTGGTATCCTGTTCTTATGATTTGGTATATAGTGTTTTAGCAATGCCACTTTTTATCCCTACGTATTAGGATACTAACTGCTGAATGCAACTAGTTTCTAGTAGAATTAGGAGGAACTAATAGGTTGCTACCTTTGCAAGAAGGTGTAGTATCCGTCCATTTATAATTAGTGGCGCATTGTATGCTTTCTTTCCCAACAATAGTATAGTTTGGTTGGCAAGAAAAACGTGCTACGCCACCATATTTATGAGATGATATTGTAGCAGTTAATGCTGCATCGTTTATCGCAATGGAAGGACACTGCAATGCTGCACAGTCTCTGAAGTCATGCACACAAACTGTAGTTATTTTAATTTAACAGTTTTTACCTGGATTTAGTTATTTGTTGAATGACTCTCGTTAAAAGTGATTCCTATCAAGGATGCGAAAAAAATTTCTTTCAAAAAACTACTCTTGATAGGTGCAAGCACGTTTTTCAAAAATTCGATTAATTTCTTGGTTAGTTTTTTTTAAGGCTAAAACTTAATTAAGTTAAGGTTAGCTAGGCTAAGGTTAATTTTTCGGATTTTGAATATTAATCGTAAAATTATAAAGAATATACCTCGGCACTTTGGTTTGGGATACGACCATTTCCCGTCAGTCAAACATGTCGATGACCGAGTTCCTTCAATTTGGAAGCCTTCTTCGCATGAAAACTGTGCCACTGTTCCGATATAAAGGCTTGGATCAGTATAAAATACTCGTAAATGCATAAAAGTTTTGAACCTTGTGCATTTTTCATCTGCAAAAAATCATCCTCAAATTATTTAGAGGAGAAAGAGTCAAGAGACTTTTTGTAGACTTGAGAATATCAAATGGTCAAATTTTCTTCGCGTTTATTTGCAATTTCCAGAAATTTTAGAAAATTTAAGATGTCAACGTTGCAGAAATATAAATTAGTGGAAAATATGCTTTGCCTTTTATAATTAATTTAATAGTGTTTCGACGACCATTTGGAAGAACGCAGTGAAAAAAACCGCCATCGCCAGGTTGCGCCATCGAAATTGTCAACTAAAATTTATTTTGTTTTAATTGAAATCTGCGATTAAAACCTAAAGTTAAACGCAATTGATTAATTTATTTAATTCAATCAAATGTTTTTTCAAAGCAAAGCAAAATTGAATACAGAGGTTAATTGTTATCAGCGTTTCACCTCATAAGCATCGACTTCTTTGAAGCGCGGTAAAGTTATTTGATTCCAGTTTTGCGGATATTTGCGATAAATAGATGATGTTTCCCATAACGGTTGTCCTTTCCTTTTCGGATACAAACATGAAAATCGCACCGTCGACGAGATATTTGCAAATAGATAACCTTCATGTGATATCATGAAAGGACTCCGCATAATATGGAACTTGATAGGTGGCGAATTTTCTGGAATCAAATAACAAAAAGATTGTCTATTATTAAAATCGTTGTAAAATATGCAAAATTAAAATGTACTGAAGTGAAAGTGAACTGTTTGGAGAATATACCATCTTTATTTAGTGGATCTAGGTTAATGCATACTGGTGGCATGGATGACCAACTTCCATTACGACAAATGATCGATGATGGTCCTCTAAGTTGCTGCATAAAATTATCAACACACGTAAAAAACAGTTCAGAGTTTTCTAAAAAACAATAACGAATTTCTTGAACTAAGAATTCCTTGGAATTCATTTATTTCAAATTTTAAATTCAAGATCTAATAGTTCAAAGGATTTCCTTTAATTCAAGATCACCCTTAACCTTGAATTTATAAATCTAATAGATTCACAAATTTAAACGAACCTGTTGCTTTACCGTTGTTGGCAAGATATTTTATATTTGAAAAAATTAGAGAATAGATATCACGAAGTTCGCTTCAAAAGATTGCCAATGTTCATGGTAGAGAAAAGCTTAACAATCTCCTGCTTTAGTCGCTGTGAGGCAGGATCCCTTTTTTCTACTCCCGACAGGACTGAACCTTTTATTAAAAAGTTCGGGTGGTACTAGTAACTCGCTTATTTTTTATTGTTCAAATGGCTATCTCGCAAAAGTTTCTGGCAGCCAATGGAGAGAGCTAACTAGAAAAGATAGGCGCTGAGGACTTACTTATTTATTCACTCTCATCTATCTGCATTTAAATAATTAAAATTCTACCAGAAAATCTCTGATTAAATGTTATTTGTTGTTTCATCTTAAATGAATATGCGGTGACGTTGAATCGTTCATTTATATGGTACTGACAAGAATTTAAATCTGAAAATAACAAGTAAAACAAATAACAAATTTCGTATGGGTAATTGTTTTTGCAAACAAGAAATATCCCAGTACAATAAGTTCCAAAAATTCGCCGAAAAATTCTATTGAATTTGGACCTTCATTGATCAAAGCAAAACTTTTACTCAATGTTCTAGGGAAAATTTTTGACTTAAACTATCATATAGTAGCGAGGCGCAGAGGTAGACCTATGTTTGAGAATGAAATCAGCTTGCTCGCCAACCAGCCAAAGGGCTCATAAAGAAAAATAGTGAGAAAAGAAGAAGAAGTTTAAAATATTTGGAAGAGCATTTCTAATTATCATTAAGCATGTCACATTTGCAATTCGAATATGTTAAATTCCAATACACTTCCAATATGCTTTCAATTAGTTTAAATTACATTTTCTTGAATTCATTTCAGTTTAGAAGAAAACTTTAGGATTATACTTGAATAGCAACGAATTTTGCCAGTAGAACTCCATTTTCCTTGACGACACCGTAGTTCATTGTCAAATTCACTTTCTGACCAAAATCCTGGGGCACACTGTATCTAAAAAATTTATTCCTAGAATCTGGATTATAATTTGGCCGTCAACTGCAATGATCCCTTTAGTTTTCGATACTTTTGTCCAATGTTGTGGACTATAAAAATATTGAAACAATGAAAGTTTTGTTTTTTATCATTTATTTGTTCTTCAAAAAATCAACTTTCAAAATGGTTCCATGAGCAAACTGGGAATTTTTAAGATCTGAATCTGCATCCACATTGAAGATTCGATATGAAGCGTCAATTCTGGGTGTTTTACACATTCCTTTACGTTGCCATCCCAGTAATAATTCAGCCTTCTTGTTGACTGAAAATTGATTGAATAAATATTGTTGCTTGGGAAATGGCACCAAGAAATCTTAGATTTTTCGATAATTAGTACAATATTTTTATATTTCAGCCTTCTTGTTGACTGAAAATTAATTGAATATTTTTAAAAGTATGATATATCATTGTACAGTTAGGTTTTTCATAATCCATGCAATCCATTCAAACTTTGGAATATCGAAGCGATTTTTCACTAGTGGACAACTGGACATTATACGAATAATAGAATAGTGCACGCGATGTTTCAAGATGAATGGAAATTAAAGAAAAGAAGATTTTCAGCCTTCAATTTTATTTCAAACAATGGAATGAAACTTATGATCTCTTTATAAATCATACTGCATGAAAGCAACAGTGTAATCCATTCTCCATTCACACACTGTATCGAGTTTGCTCTTTTCAAAGGATTGCTCAAATCACAAATATATTGAAGGATTGTGCTATTGGGAAAAACCGACTGATGAATATTTATATCGACAACTGTTTGAATTCCTGACAAATTCGCCATTTGATAAGCGATAAATGTTTGATCAGAATTCGGCCGTTTACATTTCACCGAGTTTTCTATCTCGCTAGCATTATCTTAAATATATAACATAACATAGGGGTGGAATAACCGGGCGGTTGCTACTGAGTTCTAGGTGTCTAAACATCCAAGGTCCTTTTGACAAATTATTCTGACAAATTACAAAATCTAGGGCCTACTTATACTTTTATTTCCAAAAGATTCTCTGGCAAAAATTGCTAATTATACTAAATCCATTGAAACAAAAGGAAATGGTGAGCGTTGAATACTTACTTTTTGCATATAAAATTACCATAATCAGTAAGAAATTAAGTTGAATGAGAGTTAAGTATTATTTGCAAAAAGACAATAAATACATTTTTCTAACGATAATCGCCACTTATAATATGCCTGACATTTAAGGCAATATCTTTTTCCACCCTTTAAATTTTTTTCAAAAGGTTTCTGGCTAGGCTCACTCCGACTTTCTGGCAAGACAAACAAGGTTTTGCCACGGAGTCACTCGATCTCCCAGAAAGAAATAATTAGAAAAATAATCCAAGAAAGATTAGATTTCAAGGAAGAAGGAAAACTGGAATCTGTGAAATTTTCTAAGTTGAATTGGTCATTATTTAAGTTATCATAATTTCACTTTTTTTCTTCACTTTTTCTTATTCTTGCATCAATTGAAAAATTATTTCTATTTCTATCAAAAGCATTCGTAAACCTCGATTGTTACACGATATCCTTGGATACACTTCACCGAAACGACATTCAACAGTAAGTGATTTATTTGCGCAAAGTATTTTCCCACTTTCACCATGTATAAGTCTTCGTCTATTATCAGAAGTAACTATATCATAATCGAGTGTACATTCCTCTGAAAATAAATCACTTATAGTAGATATTTAATACTTAAAGGGATTTTGAGTTAATTAAGCGATCTATATGCTGTCATTAAATTTCAAGAAACTAAAACAGTAATATCAAGCGTAACTGTAGAGAAAATGGTCGAATAAAATGACTTTCTGATAAATAAGCAAATAAATCTCGCTAATTCTGGTTAGGCTGGCTCCGCGACCTGTTAGAAATTTTTGTGCCAAAGAGTTACTTAGCGATAGAACTACGAGTGGGTCATTATATTCCACTCGATTTTCGGTTCAGCCAGTGGCAGGATTCGACCCTGGTCTCTCGACACGTTCTGGGTCTACCATCCATCCAACTATCCTTCTTCTAGGTTTTAAAGATAATAAAATAATTCTAATAAATCAATTCCTACCAGATCTAATGCCACAAAGAACTAAGAAAAAATGCTGATTACTTGGTTTACATCGACCGATACTACGATTAAATCTTCCCTGATAACAGTCTAACTCGTCATTTCCTACTAGTTGATAACCCTGCATGCAGATCATATGTGCCTCGCTATCGTGTTTCAACCATTCACCAGATTGAAGAATTTGATTAGAATTCATAGTGAGAAAATAAGCATTATTCCTCATTGGTATGTGACAATCTTCTGCAAGAATATTTTAAGAGAAGAATACTTTATACTTATTTCACATTCAATCGACTTGATTTAATTTTGCCCTTCACTCTTCCATATTTATTTTTTTTAATAGAAATTCTTAAATGAAGAAAATAGCGATTTTTTGAAAAACTGCAAATTTATTAATTAAAACGACTTAATTATGCGGCAAAACTAATTTTCTCAAAAAAAATTGGCCAATCTGAATTAAATGAATTAAATTATGCTGATTTCCAGTTAATTTGATTTAGTTTACTTTTCGAAAAAGTGCAAAAATACCTTTTTCAAAAAAACAAAAGAATATAAGGCAATATGTCTCTTGAATTGGCAAAATTGCAAAAATACTTGCAGTAAATTGGCTTTTTTTTATTAATCAGTAAAGTTTTCGCTTAAAATATATTTTAAAATTTTTTAGCGAAAACACAGACAACGTCACGGAGAAAACTGAACCGAAATACTTGGAACGCAAAGAGGAATACTAGGGCTCCATTCGCCTTCCAAACAACTTATGGCTCCATCTGCTCGACCATCATGAAACCGAAAACCTTTGTGGCACACAACCTGCATATTTGCTGCTACATAGCTTTCATTTAATATTTTTGGTTCAATACAGGATTAATCACAATTATTTTACTAATAATAGGCTTGGTTTCTTTTTCTAGAACAATGTTTTGGCCATCCGTCGTTTAATCAACTGGAGATCAACTTTACATGATATATTTTCCAAGCATTAATAAATGATTTTCAGCGAAAATGTACCATTGCTTCAGATGGAAAGGGTTTTTGCTTGGTGAATATAATTGTTCGATGAGCCATAGGAGGGATTTCGAAGCATTCAAATGATCGAACTTGTCGCTTCAACATCCTCAAGTAATTATTTGAGTTTTCATAGTTTTCCATAGTTTGATTGAATACTGTGAGAGATAGCGCGAAACGACGACGCCTTATCCATGTATTTTGGCCCTCCACAATAGGGTGGGTTTGTGAAACGCATTTAGGCTTCTTTCGAGGTCTCCATATACCGTTAACACATGTTGCCTAAGATTAAATTTTCAATTTTCAATCATTTAAAAGTCAATAAAATGATTTTGAAAAGTTTTATTTCTTTTATCTATGAGAACTTTGCAAAAATTCAAGATTAATTCAGGTTAGAATAATCAAATATTGAACTTTAGATTAATACCTTTGCTGTTCCAAGCAAGATATATCCTTTTTTGCACTGAAATGCGATCGATCTTCCTTCTTCAACATGCCTAATGTATTTGGCGAAACTATATGCCCCCATTTGTCCTTCCAGTAATATGTTTCCTCCTTCCAACGTGCCATATACTTTCGAAGGATGTTCGCATAATACTTAATTATTTTCATTCATAAAGTCTATCAAGAAAATATTAATATTGTCCATGAGTTATGAACTACCTGGTTCACATGAAAATGGTTGGCTTTCGCTGGTCCATTCACCAAATAAACATTTTATTGTATTGTGAATTCCAGAAGGTCGGTAACCTGCATCACAAATGTAACGTGCAAAAGCTCCATGCACCGATTTCATAAAGATCACTTTAGCATGAGCGATCCGAGGTGGCCATGATTTGCAACGAACTGCAAAATTTCATTATTATTTTTTGTAAATTGCTATGTAAGTAAGAAATAATTAGATAATTAGATGATTACTCGGAGTACAAGTTGGTAGATATGACCAACTTCCATTATAACAGCTAACAATATCATTTGGTTGCGCTGTTTCATATTTTGCTAAGCATTTTATTTGTAGACGTTCGCCATGAACAACCATCTGTGATGCATTATAACCAACCAATTTGCCATTATTAATTTCAGGAACAATGCACCCACCTAAAAGTTATCTGCTGAGAATTAATGATTCTCATATGTGAACTAATTGCTTTTTTTAATGACCGAAAAAGAACCTAGACATTTGGGTAGAGTATGCGACCAACGGGCATCTTCATCACATTTTGCATAGGGGGTACCTATATGGCTCATTCCTTCAAGACATCGAAAAACAACCAGAGCTCCAAAATGATTGTCACTTCCTTCGATATAGCCATTATCAAGCGGTGGTAAAGCAGGACATCGAATTTCTAAATATTAGATAATTTTACTGAATTCTCTTAATCATTTCCGCTTCCTGTAATTCCAATATTTTATTTTTCATTAAATTTCTGTTACAAAAAAATAATTTTTATAAAAGCAACAAATGAACCTTCACAAGTAGGTTCGTTTCCAGCCCAAATTCCTTCTGCAAGGCATATTCTTTGTACTTGACCTACCAGGCGATAACCATCTTTACAAGTGTAAGTTATACGGGATTGATAAGTTAAAGAACTTCCAAATACTTTGCCATGCAATGGATCCGGTGGCCGATTGCATTCTGTTGCTGAAAAATAATTCTCGTTATTTATTTTTGCATTTCTGACAGAAATTGTGGCCATTTCGCATTAATATATTTCATCCAAATATTTTTACTCGCTCAAATACCACCTGTATTAATAATTTTATCACCCCTTCGCTGGTTAGGGCACGTTCTCCGCCGTCCCACAGGAATTGACGCATATTTTGTTATTTGCTAAAGCCTGTGATGGTTGGCGTCAAAAGTGAGGAGGACCAGTCAAAACCTAGACTGATACAGGAAAGATTTTGAACGTAAGTCCATCGATATATGGACTTAGACGATGGAAAAAGGAATGGCTACTACTAGCAATGGCGTTGGGCCGAGCAGCTTGGAGATTCTTACTCTTGTAGTCAGCGGAGCCAGCTTAACCAGTAGTGGTTAGAAGAAGAAGGAAAATCCAAATAGTTTTAATTTAGAAATATGTGAATAGAACAAAATATTTAAGAAAATTATTACGTTTACAACGTGGCGTTATATCACTCCAGTGTCCGTTATTGAGACATCGAATCACAGATGCGCCAATAAGATGATAACCAGGATTGCAGAAAAACTCGATCGAATGCGGATAATAAAACAATTCACCTTTACGGCTGCCATTAACCACATTTCCTGGATCAGGGCAACTTCTTTCTATAATTGTTATTTTTAATAAGCAGGTGGTTAGCGCTCTTCATTTTTAGTTAGATTTGCTATTCGAGTTATTAGTATGGTTAGTTTATTATTAGTATGATTGGAAATTTCTGTCATGAAGTCATTTTTTTAATAGTAGATTTACTCTTATTGGAGAAAGGAGTCGAATTTTTACCTTTCAACGCTGTCTGATCAGTCCACCGTCTGAGCCACTACCTACTCAGTTACATTTCCCCAGTGGTTCTATGCTTAATCGCCAAAAAAATATTTGAATCAAATGTTGCATTATAAATTATTTTATCAATTCGTGTGGTTGTTTTTTCTTTGCAAAATGGAAAAGCTTTTATGAAAATCTGCATTCAAGAAAGAAATCAAGAGAAAACCTTTGCATCGTATATCGGGTCCAAACCATTGAGCTGCCTTAGATCTATTCAACAAGCATTTTGCAATTGATATTCCTTCACTACCATAACGATGGTATCCAGCAACACAGGAATAATGAACCTCTGCATTTAATTCATATTGTCCGGAATATGAGTTTCCATCATGTTGAGCATACGGAATTTCTGGAGGTGGCCCACATTTTTCTAAAAATTACTTATTATGGAATGAATAAACAGAACAAATAGCTATTTAGTAGATGAACACTTATTTTTCTACTATTATTATATTAAGTGTTAAGTGTTAAGTGCTAAAATATTTACTTTCCTCAAATAAATGAAAGAATTTTTATAAAACTATTTTATGATGGCATGATATTGCGAATATGTTATTATGATCATATGCCATTCCTTCTAATAATACTCATCATTCTAACTTTGTCGATTTCACTGGTTATTAGAACAAGACCAATTCTCCAGAGAGTCACTTTGGGATAAAAGTAAATTTCAGGTGGGCCCTAGAAGGAGTAGAAATTGAACAAGAAACTGAGCATGTGATAACTTGATCTTAGTCAAAGAAACCTATCATTCGACCATAGTGAGTCATTAGCTTATTGCCACCAAGAATCAAGAGAATGGCTCGCGTTTGAAGCAAACTAGCACATCACGCTTCATCAAGCAAAAATGTTGCTGAACAGCAAAAGCAAATTGCGATAGAATAATTCGATGGATTTTTGTTTAGTTTGGAGCGCTGATGCTGGAATTCTACGCCCGGCAGGAGTACACTTACCATTGAAAAATCTGTCAATTCACCTGTAACTTCTCCCAAGTGAACTCTCTAAGCCTAGTGGCCAATGATAATATCTTTTAGAAAAAAATATTCCTCGACCCATCCTGTAAGTTATTTTGCCTAATCATCAAGCTCAATTAGCTCAATTATTCTTTAAAATATTTTTGCAATGCTAAGTTACTGAGCAGTCTGCATTCCGGTTTTGTACCACTCCATTCACGATTAGCTTGACATCGCCTTTGTGAGGGACCAACGAGTACATAGCCTTCATCGCAACCATATTCAGCATTCGAATCAAATAGAAAATCGCCTGGAGTTCGAATGTATCCATTTTGTAGATCAATTAACGGATGACAAGTTGTTACTGAAATAGGTATGACTGCTTCAGCCGATGATTTCGTTCGAAAATGAATGATTAAATTTCATGCATTCCTTATTACTTCATTAACTGTTGCGAAAAAAAATCCATACGAGGGTTGACACAAGACAGCCCACAGTGTCCATCACAGAGACATCGTTTGTTTCGCTTACATTGTTCATCTCTTGTGCAGGCTTTTTTGCAATAGCTTGGCCTTACCGCTATGCTAACATTCATACACACTGAGGCCGTCGAAGTGATTTTAATGAAAAATGCAGCCAGCACAATTAGCATTTCTAGTAGCATTCTGAAAGTCATTTTAAACTTAACTTCTATTAATTAACTTCTTCATGTTTTAACTCAACGGACATATAGTAAAGGAATAAATAAACTAAGAAAATCAAATAGTAAAAAGGATAAAAAGCATAAAATGAAATGAATGAACAATATTGATAAGAGCAAAAGCCATCGAGCTAGGCCATCCATTAGTCTTACAAATTGCCAGCAGACGTATTAAATATAAAGCTTATTTTCATAGATAAATCTAATCGATCCATTAGCCACTCATCTATTTCATTTGCAACGATTCATCTTCATTAGTAGCAGCAATTAGAAATACGGGATTCCCGACGGTGCCAAGCAAACTATTTGTCTTTAAATATCTCTCGAACGAAAGGCTTTATCCTAACAACGGAACTGAATCAGAAATGATGTATGTTGGAAGAGAAAAGCAATAATAACGGATATCTGAAAATTGTCATCAAATGGCGAAAAAGGGAGTTTTGCTTAGGGAGTTTTTTTTAGCTTTTTGCTTTAGTTTTGCTTAAGTCAACAACGAATTAATGCCAGCACTTGCTAACCAGCACTTGCAAGCGAAATACTAAACGAAAAGACTGAAAAGAGAAAAATAAATGGTTTCAGTTATTTTCATAAATGTCGTGAACCGTGAGGCCTGAAACCGTTTCATTTTAGTCAATCGCTTTATCCTAGTCGGTCGTCAGTGAAGCCGTCACGCCAGCAACAGTGCGATTGTTGAAAAGCTGAGAGACAAAAACCAAAAATTCTTTTTAAAATTTAAATATTATTTAAATATTGTTACGTTATCAATAAATCGTAAAAAACCAAAGATTTTGATGTAAAATTGCAAAAAAAATTCAGGGACAGCTGGAATACTAATGTTTGAATTCACTCTCTTTCTAATAACATTCACCATTCACCTTTCCTGGTTTGGCTGTCTTCACTAACTGCTATGGAGAGATCGCCTCAGAATGTCAATTTGAAATAAAAGTACAAATGGGTTCTCAATTTCATTCATCATCCTGGTCCTTATCTTTACATAGAGAGAAAATTTGTCTCATATGATAAACTACTATTTTAACGGCTTTATCTTCTAATTTTATAAAATCTCGCTTTGATCTCTTGTGACTGCTTTTTGAAATAGATGTAGTTAAAGATAGGGTTCTATACGATAAACACTGATTGTCCCCTTTCGGATATGACAATCGCGATTTCATTGCTCCTTTTTATCAGAAATATTCTTTTAAAATATACATAATAATTTTTATCTGCACTGAATATTACTTTTAACTTAGAATTAGAAAAATGAATTGCAATCAGGCAAGCGACATCCAGAGGATATCTAGATAGCCAGCTCCTCCCTACATCCATAGATGCTTAAATATTCGAAGCATCAAAGTTTAAGACCTGGCCGTGTGCACATAGAGCCGACTGCATTCGACCAATTTCCTTAATTGGGTCCATAGTAAGAGATTCCCCACTAAGAAGTTATTTGGCGATAAAAGTACATGTAGATCGCTAGTATAACCTGGATTCTTTAATATCAAGTTTAATATTACAGGCAAGAGCCGAATTCTTATCTCACAAAATGATAATCTGAATCGCTGTCCTTTCTGTCAAATAATATTAATATGGTAGAAATGGCAGATGTAAAGAATAAATGTGGATTCATCATTTATGGCCAAGGATTTACTGGAACTATTTGAGAAATACGAAAGCATGCAAAGCCAATGATAGTGGTCTAATCAATAATTGATTTATTTGATTATTCGCCGTTGCTCCAATTTTTTAAAAAATAAAAAACCAAAACCATCGAAAACAAGTTTCCAGTTACCAGTTATCTGGATGATCTGGATATTGGGCCGGCATTTGGGGATAGAAATACGGGTGAACACCATTCGGTTTTAATGGCATAATTACTCATAGTCGGTGGACAGGAATCGAGTCCACGATGCTTGCGTCAAAGTTTCTCCAGAATAAGCAATAAAATGCCTAAAAAGCATAAAAGAATTGATTTAATAGTTCAGAAAAGAGGCAATATTATTATTAAATTAAATTACTTACGAAATATGGGCATCCATGAAACTATGGCATTGGATCGAGCGATTTGGAAGGCGTCAAATCTCATTTCGGATCGCCTTAGCGGTAATGATTAATAGTGGCAGCTATTAGAAGGAGAAAAAGAAGGCATTTATAGAAATCAAATTTAAATTTACAATAAGAATTGCATACTTTTTATTTTTTAGCAAGAACTTTCATTTTTATAATCTTTGTTCCAAAATTTTTGCTTACTTTGTAGAATCAATAAAAAGGATTTGATTTGTACAGGTGTGGATTTTATCGAGTTTCTTTGTTCATTCGTTCATCATTAGAAAATACCATTCCGCAAGCAAAAATTCGTTGGTGGTTATTAAATTATATCAACCACCTCGTTTCGTTAAGTTATACCATTCATTACGTTCATTGCTTGCCATTGGAAATGGTGCGAACACTTCAGTTTTTGTGTGATGGCCTTTTCCAAATATTACTCCACAGCTCCTAAAATATGAATTAAAATAAATGTTAGCGTTTTCCATTTCTACTAGTTGTCCTGGCTGTTAGTGCGATGAAAAAATTTTTGTCATTTGGCTATAGAAGTTTAGGTGAACTGACAATATAATGAAAATTTTACTCACGGTTAAATCTGCGGTTGAATCCGAAATTTCGCTTACTTCAACTCCTAAAATGCATATTTTGCATAAATGTATAAATGCATAGATGGCAGTTTTTCGAGATCCTTTTGATCTAAAATTTTATTGTTGATAATGAAATGATTTTCATTTTATAACCTTCTGCTTTCATGATACATATGAAAATTAGTACTGTAATAGAAATCGTTATAGTAGCAACCTTTCTTTCATATTATCTAATAATAAATCTAATAATCTCAGGCTTAGGCTAACAAATTAATGAGATCCCTCAATTAAAGAATAGCTCCATAGGGACAGAACTACAGGTACATTCCTTGCTCCATCGAATTTCATTTTTAATGACAGGTTTACTTGCGTCATTGCAGTGTAGTAATACACTACTCGCCCTTGGTGATATGTCGATGTTTTTCGCTACATTGCATTACTTTTTAATTTGCCGAAGATGCAGAAAATTTTAGAATTTTAAATTAATCAAATTTTAGAAAAATGACCAATGAGAATACTAAGCATTATCAAAAACGAGATGATATTCAAGCTTTACGGGGTATTGCAATTTTATATATATTGGTATTTCATATAGATAAACGATTTTGTCCAAATGGCTTCGTTGGTGTTGACATATTTTTTGTTATATCTGGATATCTTATTACAATGATACTGAATCGAAATAATCCTTTAACATTGAATGATATTACGGGATTTTTTTTGAGAAGAATCAAGCGAATATTTCCAGCCTATTATGTGACATTAGTTCTCATACTTATTTGTGGATGCATATGGCTGACCATATTTGATTTGCAAGGAATATTTAGAAGTTGGTATTGGGCTTCAGTATTTGCCACCAATATCTTTAAAATGATCGAGGAACAAGATTATTTTGCTCAAGTATGGTTTTTTAATATATAAAGCGATGTACAATGAATATTGATCCAGTTTTGTTTGAATCTGAATATTGCCCAAAATTTAGATTGATTGATCCATAAAATATTTTACTTGCAAAATTCTTTATATGCTTACTAAGGATTTCTCTATTCTTATCCCTAAGTGACAATCTAAACAAGTAGTCTTTTTCTAGTCAACGAATAATTAGTGGAACGGCCTAAAACAGAAAAGATGAGAAAAGCTGGATTTAATTCAGTTTGTTATAGTTTAACAAATATGAGCAATCATACCAAGAAACTTTCTTCCTTTTCTTCTTTCAGCTGATTTGACCTGCTCCAATTACAGTTGATTACTAGGATCTTTTTTAAATAATGGGTCTACTCCAATTAATTCTCGGTTTCAGTGCCACCCTACCATTCTTTCACTGACAAACCAGCATATTTAATTGCTTTTTATCAAAAATGAACATTGAGAAACGTGAAACCACGAGTGATATGTTGAAAGCAATGGGTAGCCGCTCGAGTATTATGTTAAAAGGCGGAAATTCCCATGTTAGCTATAGTATAGCTATAGAATAATGCCACATATGCTTCTAGCCAAGTGATTCCCTAGCAAAAACTTCTAGCCATAATAACAGAAAATAGAATAATAACAGAGCCAGAAATTATCAGAGTTATATTTTTGACATTATGCATCGTAGGTAATCTTAATTTACAGCTACAGAGCTTTGACTTTCTATTGCACCTCTGGTCACTGGCAGTGGAAATACAGTTTTATGCTCTTGCGCCAATTTTAATGGTATTTCGTCAAAGAATTGGTCGCATAATATTTGTACCAATAATTTGCTTATCGTTATGGTCACATATTGCTAATACTGGCTCTAAATCATTTTCCTTCATTCTGAGTCGGCTTTGGCAATTTTTTATCGGCAGTATTGCATACGAAATCGAAAAAAATTGCAGTGGTCAACTTGCTGATTCTCTGACCGAGAAAAAAGACGTTTTAAATCTTTTAATGGACGAAAGTCAACAAAAAAGTTCTTCAAACCAGGATGGTAGAAATTTTACATTTTTTGTTGAATATTTCAAATTATTTCACTTTTTTATAAGTACTCTGAATATTTTTATTTTATTGCAATTGCAAACATCTCTTTAATCGACTTATATGTTGTTACCGTATCTTGGTGATTTTAAACAGATTTAACCGACAACTCACCGATTGATTTTCATTTCCATTTAGCATCGCGTGTGTTTCTAAGTGGCTTTCCGGTGAACTGCCTTATGCCAGTAATCAGTGAGAACCAGAAGACATGGCGAATAATAAAGATATTTTGGTAAATAAAATTTAGTTTTCTACCTTATAAATGCGTTAGTTTAGATGGTATTTTCACTGGATTGATCACAATCATTAGCTTGTGGATTATATCACCATTGACTCTATATATTCCTATCGATGAAAAACTATATCGAATAATTGCTTCCATAGCCGCCGGATGGATTATCGCTGGGCAATCGCGTTGGTTAACTGAGTCAATACTTTGCCATCGCCCCCTGCTTATTATTGGTGACATCTCATACTCACTTTATTTATGTCATTGGCCTTGCATTTTGTTTATAAAATATGAAAGAAGTCATGCTGAGTTGAATTTACACGGTTAGTCATTTCATTTTACCTTTATGACCAGAACCAGAACCGTACCATCGTGGTATGCAGACCCCTCATGCCCTTCGCATCGAATCGCTGCTCTTTGTGCATATAATTATTTCCAATTTTGTTTATCGATAGGTACTGCTTATATGTACCACTTAATATTCACGCTCAATTAGCTTTGCAATCGCATCAAGAAACTTAACATTGAGGAAATTAAGGAAAATACGTTAGATAAACCACAGAAAGCTAAATGGCTGATTTGTCTAATAAGAATTAACTTGAAATTTGGGGGAAGAGACTATAATGGTTAATTTAATTAATTTATTGTTTTTGAGCTATTCTTTCCGAACGTAAAATTGGAGCAAAATTGGATGAAAGTTGAAATTTAACTAAATTTTAGCGATAATGCGCTTGTTAATATTGCTATAATAATGCCTTAACCAAGAAAAACTATCCCAGAATCCTTGTTAACACGTTATTTCTTATCCCCTGCTATCTATCTCCTGCTTTTCATTCATTTCTAACCTAAGCATTCTTATGAAAAACGCTGTCGTGTTATTTGTTACCTTCCAAGCATCCCAAAAGATAATGTCGACATTTTCCCGAATGGAATGTAGCATAAAGCATAATTCTAAAAAGACACAATCTAGACTCTCGAGTTTAGAAATCTCCAGATTTCTCCTACAGTATATGTGCTCACATTTATGAGAACTTTCGAACAATAAAAATAAATGATTTGATTCGACTAATTTTGTTATGGCCCATTATGTATCCGATGAAAAATCCCATATTCATATATCAATACTGATTATCAGAAGTTTACGATTAATGACAGGTGTACCTAAAAAATTATCATTACATATTAATATGAACTATGGTATTGATAACACGAACTACAAAGAAGTTGTTGTCCACACGCATGGATCAAATAAATTTATGATAATTGACTATAGAAGAAATAACCTGTTAACAAGGATTCTGGGATAGTTTTTCTTGGTTGAGGCATTATTATAGCAATATTGACAACAATCGACTAGTTCCGATTTTGGCCATAGTATTTATGGAGCAACTGAAGAGGAGTAATGTCCGGAGATCTCTTACCTATTGCAAACATATAGATGATATATTTCTGCAATTGTTTCAAGGATTTAAGCTCAGCGTACAAAGCATTCGCAAGGGGGATATCATTAAAAAAGGGAAGCATTTCTCAATTGTGAAATCAAACTATCTAGTGACAAATTCTGAATAAAACGATTTGTGAAAGCATTGCCTAAAAATTTTATTGTCCACTGCCATTCAGTCCACCTCAGTCCCCGAACAAATGTCCTATCTCTGCTTACACAAGAATCACATCAGAAAAAAAGTCGAAAGTCAGACTTATTTATATTTGGGATCGATGATCTATCGTCTTGAGTTGTAGCCTTAGTCTTGTTTCCTACAAGAATACAACTATGATTAAAAGCCTCTCATTATTAGTCGTTTAATTTTTCAAAGGGATTTCAGATATTTTAAAAAATTTTTGGAAAATATCGTAAGGAAATATTCATTTCTTCCTATATCAATTAAAATAATTAAAATGAGAATAATGAGGATAAAAAATAATTAAATGAAAATTTAGATACACTAGACTGCATAGTTTACTCATTCTACATGTCAGTGGCAAGTTATTATTTAATCGAGAAATATTTTGTTCGAGCTCCGTTTCATCATTCTATTTTGTTCTTAACATTACTTGGCGCCATCGCTGGTACTATAATTATGGAAACGAATCGATCACCGAGTTTAAAATTCAATGATACGGATTTATTTGGTGATTTTTTGCAGAGCAATTTGCGGTTCAGGTACTCACACCAGAAAATAACGAAAAATCCATACCTTGAGTTGTTGTTTTTGCAAATCTGACAAATGAGATTTCGAGAAAATGGAACTAAGATGGAAAATAACAAAAAAATTTTCATAGGTGCTACAACAGATTCCATATTATCCACAACGCCGGTCCCAGTAAACCATACAAACTTGAAATACATTATAAGTATGAATAAAAAGGCTATGGAAGAAAAATATCCTAAGCCACCTTATGGAGTGGAAATTCTTGAAGATACAGAAAGTGTAAAGTATGCAAATGAGCGTAGACTGGATGGAGGGTTCGATTTGCGTTACGTGAAAGCAAGTTATTTTAAATTATTTGAAATAACCCTTCGAAACAGTGAATGAGTAATAGTAAATGGCAGAGATAAATATCATCGATCAGAAATTTTAATTCATAAGAAATATGCTAATCTATTAGTAATAAGAGAATAGTTGGCATTTTTCATTCGACTAGCTCCGTTGGCCACGGTTAAGAAGTTTTTGCGAGTGAGTTAGACTCATTTGGCGATAGAAGTGCAAGTCGGTTGCCGGGTTGCCGGCACCACTCGGATTTTTTGGGGACGAGTTTATTCCTATGGGAGCAGCGGCTGAACACGACAATCTAAGTCACCCAAAGTCATATAACATTCTTTTTATAGCACCGATTATTCCTGGCTTGACTGAACTGGCGAGTAATTTCGGGGTAGAAGAATAGATAGGTCTATTCCAGATTCGCACTTCACTTTCGACCATACGAAGCGAACTCATTCTGTTTATTCAGAAGAATAAGCGCTCGATCGCAATTTGCTTATCCAAATTCTATTCCAAATTGGTTTCCGTTAAAAAAATTTCGTTGGAAAATTTCAATATGCTATTTAATTAATTGATCATTAGTGTCACTCAAAATGCAGGGAAACGGAAAAACCAAAATTGCTGTTGTGGGCGATAGTTTTGCATCGACTGCGTTTCACTATATCTTACGAGCATTTACTAGATACCGGATCGCTCATATGAAGCTAATCGCAATGGAAGGTTGCCACATGGTACTCGGATTATCGACTCCAGCGAAGCCGCACTGTGATATTTTGACGGAGACTATCGTAAATATTACACGCGAGTTCAAACCACATATCACTTTTATTAATTTCAAGTAAATTACTCAAACCTTAAAAATTAACTGCCCTGAGGCTAACTAGAATGAAATAAATAAAAATTCGCTTCATTTATAATTCGCTTTTAGATGGTCATATAAGATCAATAATATCATTTTATAACAATTTTCATTACAGGTTCTTCGATCCTTTCACTTCACCTGTGGATGATATTGATAATGATAAAATCTTTGAAAAACTTCAACATACCATAAATCTCCTCATGGAATTTACTAATCGAATCGTTTTTACAAATGATCACGCATGTCCTATGTAATATTTCCTTAATCATTTATTTTTTTTAGATATAGTCGTTCTAAGACTTAGTCAAAGACTTAGTCTAAGATATGACACTTTGCCTCGGCTGAACGGTCGGTTCGATTCTTGTCTTTCGATGTCAGTAAAGGTGTCGCTCTAAAAACCTCACTTTAATAATAATTACTGGGAGCGAGCCAGAAATGCCACCTAAGAGGAAGGAAAAAGAACAGTTCTAAAGTTTTTTTGTTTTTAAAGAGCACTCACCATTATTTGTTAGACTCCGCTGGCTTGCCATTAGATAAATATGCCAGGGAATCCTTTAGCGATAAAAGTAGAGGTAGGTCGCCAGCATCACTCGGATTTTTGCTATTCCTGCCTGGATTAGAATTTCAGTATCGGCGCTCCGAATTGAGCGACAACCCACTGAGCCATTCTACTTTCCTCTGCTTTTTTCCGTTAGACGACAGCGCCGCTTGACGAATAGCGGCGGTTTCGATCGGTTTCGATCACGACCCTCGATTCTCGGTAATAATTATCTTACCACTGAATCACCGCGCTCCATACTCCGATAGAAATTGCAAAAGATCCAGTAATCTTTGTTTCATCTTTTCTTTTCTGTTTGCAAAATATGAAATCAATGAACCAATCTTTCCTACGAAAATAATCAAAAATTTGATGAGGAAACATTTCGTTTTATTACGTTATTGTAAAAGCGAAGGGCAATAATGAAAATTTTAGAAAAAGAGTTCTAATTCTTCGAATATAAAATAAATTTCAGTGATAATTTTGTTGACAAACTCAACTTTAACTTACAAATGAATAAGCCAGTTAAAGAACTGAATGTACCGTTCGCCAAATTTTGGAAGGATAAGAAATTTGGCTACCACCGTGTCAACGGCCTTCAGTGCGAAAAATGCGAGTACGTTTTCAGTCACCGCTGGTTTTGCGATAATAGGGTTAGCAATATTTGCATTATTTATTTTTGATATATTTATTTTCAATTACATTATTTTATTTTAATTATTTTAAATGATACTTTAATTAGATGGCTTTCAAAAATATGAATAGTAAAGCATAGCGAATTTACATCGCTTCTACTATAATAGGCTTGAATATAGAAAAGAATAAATCTACCAATGACAGTGAAGTCCAGGTGATGCTGGAAACCGATTTGTACTTCCTTCTACTCTCAAATTATTTTGTCATTCAGACAGTGCAGTTAAACTAAACTAGAAATGGTGAAAAATACTGTTCTTGAAAGCTAATTTAATGAGTTATTTAATTTAATAATGAGTTAATTTAATTTAATTTAAAGTTAATGAAAAAATTATTAAAATAATTATATATTGTTAGTATCAACAGCCGAATCATTTATTCTAAAATTTTGACTTTTAACTGAATTTTAACCCAAAATTGAAAGCACATCTTCCAGGTTTGTAATACTTACGATCCGGAAACATACATCTCCTATTATCGAGATGACTGCCACATAGGACCTTATGGTATAAAATTCCTCGTACCTCATTATCGTCGTTTGGTCGACGAAGTTTACGCACAAAGATATATTCCATAAATTTCAATGAACGGCATCCATAGCACTTTAGCAAGATCAATAAAAATATTTGCAAGGATGGTTAAACAATGGTGAAATCTTCATCCGATAAATATTAATGGCCAAAAATCTCTAATACAGTTAAAATTAACGTTTAGCCAAGTGCATGTCGAGAAATGCGTGGCTTCTAAAGATTATATATTGCAATTGAAACCAACTATATCAGAAATGGGAAAGCTATTAAAATGTAAACCATGCCACAATAGCAACCACTTGCACTATAGAGAGGAACAATATCCGGATTAGTGTTTTATATTTTAGAAATATTTTAAAAATACTGCAAATGAATACCTATTTAACCTTAGGCTACCAATAAACAGAATTTTTAAGAGAATAAACATTCAACAAGAAATATTTTATTAATAAAACATGAGCACAGCACAACAATAAAAAATAATTGCGTTTTAATATTTTGAGCCAAATTTATATATAGAAAACGAAACTCAACCAAAAAATAATGCCGTTTATTAAAGTTAAGAAAAATTAAAAAGAATCGAAAACAGAGATCAAAAAAAATTTTGCCTTTTCCATGGTGTGTGCCCTTAAATAATTTCATAATTAAATTACATGAATAAACCATAATCATGTTTGCCCTAACTGAAGATAAACAATTTTGTGAAAGAGCTTATTAACCGCTTCCATTCACTGTTGCTTGTTGATGAGGACCTTTGCCTGAAATAACTCAAGGAATTCATTCCAATTTCCTAATTTTCCATAAATAAAAGAAAAAACCTTCATGTGAACAACAAATTCTGCATTTATCTTTATCATCATTTAAGTAAATTACAAGTGATCCAACACTGATTCAATATTTAAGTTAAAATCAGCATGTACCAAAATCAATTGGAGTAAAAAAAATTAAAAAGTCGACAACAAACCACCGCGCCGAGGTCCACCACGACCACGCCCTGGACGACGCATTTCCCTTTCATTACTTTCATCCTTGTCACCGAACTTTTCTTCATCTATAGTACGCCGACGATCATCCATATCACCACCACCTGCAAAATTAAGTGTATTCTCAATAAATTTATAATAATAGAGCCTTTACAAAAAAAAGCAAAGGAATCAAAAATCACCTCTTATACGATGACCACCACGAAACGATCCTCCACGCCCGCGCCCTTTGAATGGTCCTCCTCGTCCACCAAAATTTCCATCTCCGCGTTCAAAACGATATCTAAAAATCAGGAAAGATATACTACAAAAGTTATCGAAATTTTCCTAAATATGTAAACGTAGTATTAATAATTTACAACAATAACTTTCACTCAATGGAAAAAAATTTAAAAATCAAAGCACACACCCTGACCCATTCATTCCAACTGGAGGAGGAGTCGTACGGGAATAAAGTCGTCGCTGCATTTCATCCATATTTAGGCGCATTTCTTCCATTTCTTTCAGATGACGCATATGATATTCGATTAAAAGGTTAGCCATTGATATAGAATCTCGAGTTCCAGTAAAGACAAACGGAACAGGTTCATCAGCCTTTAAAAAACTTGCTATCTAATATATAGAATTTTAGCAAGCAAGATAAATTCATCAAAATATCCAAAAAATTAATTAATTAATGATATATTACTCATCAAAATAAGTAAAAGTTTTAAAATAAATCTATAAAAAAAATTCGTAAAATTTGTATCGAACTAATATCAATAATTTTATAAAAATTATGTAAGAATTTAGAAAATAAAAAAAATTTAAAAGAAATTTAAATTAAAAGAAAAATTTATAAATTTATAAATTTTTATAAAAAATTTACATTCTCTTCAGCGCGATTTTGGCCATCACCTCCTTCAATCTGAACACGAACGACACCCGATTTATCGACAATATCCTGCATGATAAAATACTTTTTTTTTAAAAAAACATATTACTAATAAATAAAAGCGGAAAAAAAGTACATACTTGAATGGTCTTCCCAGATTTCCCGATAACTTTCCCAACCATACCTCTAGGTACGTCAAAAGATTCTACCGCGTATTCTAATTGTGATCTAGCAGCTGCTGCTGCTTCAGCATTTTCTGCATAAACCTGGAGATACGAAAATTATAAAAACTTAAAAAAATATTAAAAAGAATTAAAAATGATAAAAAAATATTTGGAGAATATAAGCAGAAAACCTTTAAAAAACGAAGAAAATTTATTTATAAAAATAATTAATACCTTAAAAAGAACAGGATTTTGACCATCATTGCTTTCAATCACCTGGATATCGTCAATTCCTTCCATATTACGTGCGCTCTGAATGTTGGTACCATGAGAACCGATAGCTAAACCCATAAGGTCAAACGGAACCGTAAATTCTTCGACATGAGCTGACGAATTCAATGAAGTATTTTCCAACATTCTCGCAGCTTCCTGTGAAATTTCCCTCGTAAATTGCCAATGAATAAGTAGATTGAATTAATTTTATCTGTTCCATTTATGAATAATTTGAATGATTCTTTTAAATATAGCTCTTCCTTTAATTTCGGAATCTACCGTGTTTAAAACCATCTTTGATCAGTCACAAAAAATTTAATATGAAATACTTCTTGACGTTGCAATAACTGCATCTTTTGACGAGAGTCTTTGAAGTACATGTCAGCTAACACAGTCGCTCTTTTTATGGCTTGTTCTTCGAATGCCTAAAACGACATATTCATTACATACATAAATTGGTGTTTCTTGATAAGTCAATTAAGATATTAATAGCTTATATATTAAGAAAAAAATAACCGATATGTGCAGATGCCCGCTTTCCTCCTTATATTCAATATAAACATTTTTCACGATTGAAGCGAAATCGGAGCAAGTTTCTGGCCGTTTAAAATAAATGCGAAGGTCCTCAGGCACGACGATTTCGGTGTGCTTAAATTGACCTTGTTTCAAAGGAATACATTTTACAGATAAAGATCTGATACGATCAAAAGAAACGATGTCCATGCGATGAGGACCTTCAACGCTTTCGACAGCTGCTAGTTCACCCTACAAAAAGAGTCTTGTAATAATTATTAAATAAATAATCCATTAAAGAAATAAATAACCACGACAAATAAAAGTAAAAACTGACTTTCAATTCCTTTATTTTAGACCTTTGCCAACCATAGATGGATTCATTCTCTTGTCTTACCAATGCTTCGACGACATCACCACTCTTAATCATGTCGAAACTCTTGTTTACACGAGGCGGCAAACGACAATCTTCATATTTGACCTTAGAGAATAAAATAAAAATTTCGAAACTCTGATTAATTAAATTAATTGAAATCTATATATAAATTTCATTGTAATATTTATAAATTTCGCTGATAAAAATTATAAATGCCTTGATCAATAATAAAAACCTCTTCAATTTGTGATTGCTCGGTCCCATAACTGACAGCTAATTTGTCGGGCTTGATTGATTTAACAATAGCCTGGAATTCAATGGTTTTGATTCGCATTATCTTTAAAAAAAACTGGAAACCAAAATTAAATTTCTACACAAATACTGAATATTTGCTTAATGTTCTACTAAAACAAAATGAAGATAAAGCTATATGAAAAATAAAATTTATGTTTGCTAAAATACAATTTTTTCTGAATTGTTTGTTTCCCAAAAAAAAAACAATAAAATAAAAATAAAAAAGATAAAAGGATAAAAAAATGAAAGTAGTTAAGCGATCAAAATAATAAAATTTTTAAAAATTAGAGATATCAGAGAAATACATAATTTTCCGGAGAAATGTAAGTTTCTTTTTCAGAATTTCCAAATTCCATAACACATATAAGTATATAATGCTTGACCTAAATTGAAGCAACTTTTCCATTTTGCTTTCTTTTTACCTAATGCGACATGATGAAACATGCAAATAAATTATATAAACATATACATTCTGAATTTAAAAACCAAATATATAATGTAATGACCCAATTCACAACCAAATAACTAAATTATCAATTTTAATTTTACTGAAAAAATCTATATAACTTTTTCTCGGTCGCTGATATTATTTGCTAACAATTTTTAATGATATTTCCGCTTATCAAAATTTTTGACATGTGATCATAATGAATTTAGTTTTTAATATTTTAAGTGGAAAAAAACTAATAGACAAATCGGCTTTAAAAATTTGGATGAAAAACCAGATCAATGAAACTTTTTCTAAGTTATGTCTAAAAATTTAAATCCAATAAAGTCTATGCTACATAAAACTGGGAAAATAATAATGCAGAATAATTATTTGTCTAAACAGTGGCTATGAAATTATTTAATTAATACCGAAGAATACTTTGTATTTATTATTTATATATTTATTTTTACCACTTATTTATTAATTATTACTATTATTACTATCATTATTTGTTATTAATAGAGAATTTTCCCATGAATTAAAGGTTCAAAAATCAGATAAATCAGACTTACTATTTCCCATTTTACTTCTATAATAATCAAAATAAAAAAAATCAACATAATAAAATATAAACGTAAAATAATACTAAAAAAGACGGCTGATTTGAAATTTTTATTTGCTTCGCATTAATTATTTTACGATGAAAAATGCTGAAAAAGTGAAATCAAAAATTTTATAATTATGAAAAATATATCTAAAAATCATATCAATAAGTGATATTAGAGATACCAATCGCTGAAAATAAAGGATTCAAATTACTTAATTGAGTAAGGAACTAAAAATCCGAAACTTATTTGTGCTCATTGTTGATTAAACCTAATATTTTCTTTCTTAACAAATTTTAAATATAACCTCAAATTAAATGCTTGGACAATGCATTTGCAAGTTAATAGGCCATGCGATGTAAAAGTCCACAAAACTCTTTATTAATTTATTAATATTGCTTAAGCTTTTTTTTTCTTAACACTATCACCATCACTGGTTAGGCTCGTTCGGCTGGCTTGTGATAGATGTGGAGTCTCTTGGCGACAGAAGTACACGTGAATCGCCAGCATTTTTTCACACGGATTTTTGGCAGGTTTGCTTCTGCGGGGAGTGGAACCTCAGCACCAGCACTCCGAATTGAACAACAACCCACTGAGCCATTCTATGCCCCAATATTGCCAAAATATACCATTTTAACGCTCAAACATAGCTTAAATGATTCAATGCAAAAGTTTTATTTGCTTTAAAAAATAAACGAATTTTTCTCTAAAATATAAGAAAAAATAAAAATGAATGGAGTGAGAGACAAAATTAATTTTCAATTAATTAAAAGTTCATTGTAAAAACAAAACGAACTTTATAAAAGACAGTGTTTGGTTGCCGTACTTCGATTTCCATTCTTTTATTTCTCGAAACGAGTCGAATTCAGATCAGTTTTAATGACTTTGGCCAAAAATCGGAATCCTCGATTAATCCACAACCGATGAAAAAATCCTTAACCGATAATAAAAAGTTTAGATCCAAGAGAGCCGATGGCTCAACAAACGCTGTTCTCCCCAATTTATCTGCTAATAGGTTGTGGTGGGCTCTTATAACGATTTAGAATTTCAACTAATACAGCCCTCTTGCCGAGTGTGGTGAAAATCAGTCTACGCAGCTAAATTTCGCAAATGGCTAAACATCAGCCGAAACGTTTTAAAAAATTTGAAATGGAAGAATTTTAATTTTGGCTCGGATCGAATTTAAAGCAGCAAAAAAATTTATTGATAAGCATTTAATGTATACGAATAAAAATGAAAAAAATTTTTGGAAAATGACAATGTAAATAGAAATAGAAATATGAACTGCAAATTAGTATTCAATGTTTTCCATTCGAGACCACTCCGCCTATTTAGAAGTTTCGGATGGGTTACGGGCCAGGTGGAGTGTCCCTCGTGGTACTTCGGTGGTTGGTTTGTGGAAGATGGGATTTCTGTTCGACCTAATATTTACAAGCAGTCAATTAATAAATCGTTGTCTCAGACACTGGCAAAAATTAGATAAGGAATGTGGTTTTTGAGAGATTTCTTCGTTTGCTTTGAACACGTCAATTGACCCTTTTCTAAGTTATGTGGACCCTTTCCTCATTTATGAGGAAATAGCAGAAGGAAGTTGGAGGAATTACTGAGAAGAATTTTTTCGATTATTAGAGGAAGGATGGATTAAGTAAATTATGGAAAATTGTAGGGTAGAAAATAAACAATGATGGAAGAAAAATAGTGTAAAAAGCAAAAAAAGGAAAGACATGCGCGCAAAGGACTTATAAACAATCTTTTGCGTTTCCAAAATGAGAAAGGAACTTCAAACTTCACAACCTATAGAAATAGTTTTTAGCAGTTCCGTAATTCGCACTATTTATACTATTTAACTATTTTTATTTAAGTGTATTCATAAAAAATCTACGAGCATAATTTTTTGATGGCCAATTTCTGGCATCAGCGTTGGGGACTACACGTGTGCATAGTCTTTAGACGTCTGTTCACTGGCTTGAAGATCGTCTCTTTATACGTACATGAGAAGTAGTCAGGTGAACAGGTGATAAGCAATGGATTTGTGTCGAAATATCTTTCTTGTACTTTTTTGGTATTTTCTAATGATTTTTATTTTTTAATGAATCACTCTCGTCGCAGAAGAGCATTCTCATCAAAAATTTATTGAAAGTAACCATGAGCCAAGATAACTTTTTTTTTTCAGAGATTTTTTTCATGTTATGAACTGAAGATGATTTATAAGATCCAACTGCAACCTGTTATGGTTATCTCATATGTATTTCATGCACAAAATTATTTATTTTGGTGTTTACTTTTTGGCATTTTTCCAAGGATTTCATTCGTGCATTTCTCGAGACAAAATTTTTAATCTCAAGCGCATTTTTGCTTTCAGTGGCAGACTGACGGGTGAAGAGATAGGATCCGAATTACGTCTTTTTATAGTTATGGTTATAGGTAACTCGAAATGTCACATGGGGTTTCAAATAAGCACAAATATTTCCGAATAGTGATGAACACTTTCTTTATTCTCCTTTTCTTTCCCTATAAACTTTCTGCCTTATTCTCTTTGTCTAGACAGGAGGAAATCTTCCATTAAAATCGAATTCAGGTGACTGCTAGGAACCCAAATGAGTCATGACGACTGAGTCGTATAATGAATACGTGGGTTAAATAAATCGCAAGTGTTTGTATATTTCAGTTTGCATTATATTGTTCAGTGTACATTACATTATATAGCCTGGCACATGCATTAAATATGCGAACTCCGCTTGGACATAGCAATATTAAATTTGTCGAGGTTGAAGGCTTTGTCTCACCCAATGAAGTTGCATAATTGTCAGTTGGTCTGTATGCACGAGGAGAGGCCTTGGCCATAGCTATATGAAACGTCAGAATGGATGTCGGGCGCCAGGCGATGATTATCCACATCCCATCCAAACATCATGTGAATATCGCTTTCCTATCTGAATTGCATGTATTGCTATCGGCCTTTATAATTCTGGGTCCGAAGAAGTAACTATTATTCGATATTAAGAACTTTTGGTTGTATTCCATTGGTGTTTCCGATAACTCAGGTAGGAATAGTCGCCATCATATAGTCATATCTGAAAGAGCTAATCAATTCTAAATAGTATGGAACTCTTTTAATGAGATCGGTTGGCCTCCACTTTACAAGGAAGTTTTGCAATATCGTGTGTATTTATGTCATCAGTATTTATATCTTTACACTTCGTACTATGTCATCAGTATTTATATCTTTACACTTCGTACGGATGATTTGTATAATGATGATAGATTCTATGCCAAATTGAACTTGCTAATAATGCTTCAAATAATCATAATAGAGAGAGATCGAATGCGCGCATAGGATATGACAATACTCCGTTGCCTTCCATAGTCGACAAGTATGGCGTTGGGATCCGATTTGTCAACGAAAAGCGCATTCTCGGCTATGAGAGCTTGGTCTTTCTGCCACTAATATATGCCTTCAGCCTTACAGAAGATTAGACAATCGACTCTCGAATCAGTTTGACAGTTTGACTATATTTTCTCCAGTGAAAGAATTCTGTACTAGATAGCTGCGCATATTGTTGATTATGATAGGACACAATTATTGAGGAATCAATATGCTAGTTTCTATTCTGCTAAATAGATTCATGGTAGAGTATGACAGCAGGAGATAGCTTAACCAAGGCGAATTTAAACGAGGAAGTAGCTGTGCTGTCCAAATTTCCATAAGGAATATTAAACATCACTTCAAGTTTCAGAGGAATATTAAACATCACTTCAAGTTTACCTACTTTATTGACTCTTTGATTCAATCAAGAGGGTAACGCTCTGGTGAGTCATGCAACACGGTGGTATCTCAGAGAAGTTAATCAGATTTATCAAGATATTTTATTGACGTAGTCAGTGCAAGTGTACGTGTGGAGAATTAATACATTTTTTTCGAAAACGTGCAGATATGCCAAAATTTCTTCCTCTACAGTTTTAAATTAAGGGATAGATTATGGACACCGTTCGCCTAAGAAGTATATAAATCAGTCCAAAGTATAACATTATAGACTTTGAATACTCTATTGATGTTGTCATTTTCGATGGCAATTACGATGAATTGTAACTGGCACTAGAATGTTGACAGCTGGCCTCATACCCAACCTTGCAATACGGCTGCGAAATTTTGTCTAATGAGAGTGAAGGTCATCAGGAAGCTATCCGCCTATGACTACTCTTGCTTAAGATACATCATATATACCCATCAAATGGAAAAAGTTTCTTATGATTGCATTTACCTTCTCTCCAAGGTTGTGTGCATTTAGAATATTATCACAGAGGGTCATCTGTGCTGGTTTGGCCATTTGGTTTTTTCGTCGCTAACAACAGTAACTTACACACATTCGTACTAAATTGTTTGAATGGCATCATGAAATAAATTTGAGTCTTAAACGGCTCAGCGATATAGTTAGGCTTAAGCGATGAAAAAAGAAGTGGCTTTAGTTATTCTTAGGATCAGCATGAGATCGGAAGTCTTGAAAACTTCGCCATCAGTCTTATCTAAAATATTCGTCATCAGTGGTACGAATTAGGGCAACAATGGTGCGAGCTATTTGAAAAAATAGATTATCATTTCAAGCATCATAGATTATTCCACTTCCTATTGCTAGGAGTATGCCTTATTATTAAAAATGAAATATTAATTTTATCGTTATTGGTAGGAGAATAAATATTTAGCGCTTGCTTATTTCAGATTAGGCTCAGCTGGATATTATTATGGAAATTTCGAAATGCTAGAAATTTTTCGAGAGAGATTACCATTTTATTCGGGAATAAGATCTGAACCCTTGCGTTAATCTGAGTTACCATTCGGCTGCTGGGACGTACAGCTAAATATTAAAGAATGATAATAACTTTTCTTTGAGAATTATTAGATTTAGTAGATTGAATAAAATAAATCAGTTAATTTATATAAAATTAAAATTCTTTGAAATCCTTTAATAATAATAACAATAACAAAATAGTCGATAAGTTTCATGAACATACACCGATGATGGATAGGGTAATATTGTCCCTAGGGAAGTGATGAGCTCGCTTATTTTCCTAAAATTTTTCTTGTAGTTCATTCTGTTATTGGTTAGGTTGGCTCCAGAAAATGACGACAGGACAAAAATTTGCAAGCCTCTCGCTTAATGATATCTGCAAAAATATAATGGTGTGGTTCCTTTCTTAATGATATAGGAAAAGTATTTCGTATTTTCTTGCTACACGATTGAATTAACTTAACCCAATTTTACTTCTAAACTTATTCTGGTTTTACAGTTCTTTCCGCCAATATTTAAACGAAAATGAAATTCTTTTCTCTCTCTTCTCTCTCACATTTAATTTATTTTAGGGAGGAATAAAGTATGGTATGGATATAATAATTGTAGGTCATATTTTGCATTGTTCACGGTTTTTACTTATTGCAATATTCATGCCAGAAATGTTCATGAAGATATACAATTATAAGAAATCTCAAAGCCTTCCATGAATGAATAAAATTTGATAATCCAAAATAATTTGCTGAAATACGTAATACTACCTAATAACCTAAATGTTATTCGATAACTAAAATAATCAAATGATAATGAGCAGGAAAATAATACATAGCGTAGGACAGCGGAGACGATAATGGCCCAGATTGTCATGTTGAAAGAAAGAGAAGTGACTCCTGTTCTACGTAGAAAAAAGCCTTCTAAAAACCTTTTATTTTCTTTTAAAAAAATCCGAGCGTGATTAACGTCCATTTACATTTCTATCGCCAAGTGATAATGCTCTGGCAAAAATTAATATAAAACGATTAAAAGTTAATAGAAATTAAGCCAGCAGACTTAACCAGAAATGGTGAAAGTTAACCACACGTGGTTACCAAGTTTGCGTGAATTTTCATCATAGAGGAATCGTTGGAACAAACACTGGCTGGGAAGGTGGTTAAGCAGCATAGCAGCACTTCGAAGCAGCTTATTAAGAATAAACTATCATAGACGTCGATTCGTGTCATCTTCGAAGCAGGTAAAATCATTAATAGGAAATATTTAATAGGAAATCTACGAACTTCTCATATAAAATTATTTCATCTACCAAGTTTATTAGAATTTTTTGTAAATTAGAATGAGAAGGAAATTGACTGTTATAAGCCATACGATTTTAAGACGGCAATTTTTATTCATTGTGATGTTTATGTGATTGCCACTGATTAATTTAAAAAACCATAGTAAAAAATTTGCGCTAAAAAATTAGATTCTATTGATAAAATCTGTAATTTAATAATTACAGATGTTAAAATTCATTCGTTAATTTTTAAAGTTAGACTAGAGAACGAACTCTTTTGATAACTATGAAAAATACGACAAATAGCAATTAATCGTACAACTGAAAAACAACCCGAATTCATTTCCTGCTTTTTTTCGTTGCAATACACTATTATATATTCGTATAATTTACATATCCTATCGCAATTTTAAGAAATTAAGGCGATTTGAATTGTTTGGTAAGAAATAGGTCAGCGTTTCGCCATATTTCATTGTATATTGTGTATTTTAGTTTTCCTGCACTTTTCCTTTTTTAGATTTTAAATTTGCGATGCTTAAAAAGTGAAAGAACAAAGATGAAGAGAACGCGGCGACGGTGGGCGATTTATGGGAAATGAAATAATGCACGGAAGGGGTGGAAGGGACGCGGATAATTAGGTCAAATGGGGTAACGGAGGCTGCTCGTGAGATATGAATGCACAGCGCTGCTGTGGCGTATTTGTGCCGTGGTCTGACATGGACTCATCGCGTTTTATTCGCGCATATGTCATTTTATGGATCCATATTGTGCTTAGCGAAGCGTTAGCACGAATCGCTCAGGTAAAATCTTTTTCCAAAATCTAAATTAATTTCAGTTCTATTCTTTATTTGCTTAATTGCTGAAAGTGTTAAGATAGGATGGCTCGGTGGGTTTTGCTCAATTGGGAGCGCCGATGCTGAGGTTCGATTCCCCGCAGGAGTAAACCTGTACAAAAATCCGGGTGATGCTGGCGACTTATCTGTATTTCTATCACCAAGGGACTCCCTGGCACATTGCCCAATGCGACAAGCCAGGAGAGCGAGTTTAACCAGTAATGGTGAGGAATTTTAAAAAAAAAAATTGCTTTTGTTAAACATCGTAATGATAAATAAATGGAAACCAGTGCGATTTATTGGACCTCTTTGCTAGTTTCATATACTTGAGAATTAAACGATTAAATAAGACATTGATATTCTTTAAAAACATTGTACCATTACGTATGGAAGGTGGTTGAAAAACTTTTTTGAAGTGTTATCCAATATCTTTTAGTATCATATTTAAACTTGATATAAAATGTGATGAACGAATTGATTTTCATCGATTATAAAAGCCTATTCGATAATTTAAAAAAGGAGACGACGTGGATTAATGTAGTATTTTCTATAGAACATCTGCAGCCTTAATTTAACATTAATGGAGATAGGATAGTTTAGTGGGTGGGTTGTTGCTAAATTCAGAGCGCCGATGCCGAGGTCTCATTCACTGCAGAAGTAAACTTGTCGAAAAATGCGGGTGATGCTGGCGACTCATTTATATTTCTATCGCCAAACTCCCTGGCATATTTGTTCAATACGACAAGTCAGCGGAGCGAGTTTAACCATTAATGGTGAAGACTCCTAAAAACAAAAAATTTAGCATTAATTAGTTTTAAACAATTTCAGAACAAAGCAAATTCACCAGCGAAAATAGTGCATATTCCACCACCGATACAGAAGACGATTACACCGTTAAAAACCAAAAAATATAAATGCATCGAAATTGAAAATGATGAAGATAATAAGGATAACAAAATGGATAGGAACGATGAAAACCAAGTAATTGTCTACAAAATTAATTTTATCTGAATAGAATATGTTAATTTTATCTGACTAGAAATTGGATACAGGATAAGGGAGTGGGTAGAGCATTTGGAATAGTGAGTATTGAAGCAGAAGCTCGGTGATAAGAACAAACTTGTCATTAAATTCCGAGATGTACCAGCCATCCACCTATATTTCCATCGCCAAGGCCTGGTAAAAATTTCTAACTGTATTGAAGTTAGTTAAAGCTAATGAAGTTAGTCTAACCAGAAATGATGAGCGCTAACCTATTTCTTCACTTATTATGCACTCAAAATCACAATCTAACATTCGCAAAATATTAATTAAGACAAATCCATATATTTCCGAAAAATCCTCATTTCAATAAATTAGCTAGGCATTTCCACATTGGATAAAAATTTGAACTTTGTTGGTATTTTTCTCCTGCAAAAGAAAAAGTTAGACCGAACCGAAAAAAATTTGCAAAAAAAGAATAAGAATAAGAGAAAAAAAATTAAAAAATAGATGATAAAGAAAAGAATAAAAATTCAGAAAAATTTATGACAAAAAAGGGACAAAATTTATGAATAAAATTAATCTAATGATAAAGCTCCAAAATGTGATAAAAATTAAAAGAAAAAAACTTAGAATAAAAAAACTTAAATATTTAGGACAAATTATGGCAATCGTTAGATACCAAAGATATATTCAAAGAAGAAAGCCCTTTTCATCAAACTGTACCATTTAACAAAGCCTTACCAGAGAGAACAACAATTCAAGTTAATGGCGATTTGTCAAAAGCTAAACCTTCGATTTGGACATTGAAAGAGAACAGTGAAAAAACCTATCGGATTAAACTAGGATTATCATTATCACCAGAACAATGTGAACATGTAAGTTATGTTCTTCCAAGCATTTAATTTCTGGTTCTCACCTAATTGATTACAATAGCAACCTTTTCGCCAGAAAGATATTTCGGGATAGAAGTGCAAAATTGAAGTAAAAACGTTTATATTAGGATGAATGGTGCAATAGCGTAAAAGCTTGTAAGTCCAAAGCATCACCAAAATTTTATTTTTGTAACAGTTTATACTACACTATAGAATCATATTCTTCTTGTCGAACCATACCATCTCTCTCAAGTATTGATTCATCTAAATAATAATCTGTGTTTAAATAAAGAGAAAAATAAGCGATGAGCAGTTTTTTAGGTTCAATATTTGGCGAAATTATACGGTGTAAAAGATGTGGAAAGCTGGGTATATAAACACTGCGATTTGGCTCGTCTGTATTTGCCAAATGCATCTTGTCATGATATTCACGCTCTTATCAAATCATGTAATATACCCAAACAGTAATGTTTAGATCTCATTTCTATGTTTTACAAATCACTGTAAAGTTAGGAAGTTTCATCTATTTTTGTATAATTTACACAAATTATATAAATAAGCATTGGTCTGGCAGGGAAGAAAGTTCTTGCAGATATTTAAAATTTTATTAAAGTGCAAGGTTAAAAACGTTTTGTATTGGGATGAATGGTGCAATAGCGTGAAAGCTTATATCGCGGAAGGGCGTGCAATGTTACAACCTTTCTCTGGTCAAAATATTAACAAGATTATTAACCAGCTGACTAAATGAAATTTTCAACAAGAATTTCCAAAAAGATATTTTATTATATTTATATCATTATGTTTCCGAAAACGTCAATCACCATTTTTTCCAGTCCAAGTTTCCAAAATTTATTTCACTGCAATTGATTTAAAAAAATTTTTTGAATTCCTTAATTGATCGCCAAAACGTCGTCCATTAAATTAAAAAAATCATACTGAAATCTGAAATCCCGAAAAGTATGAAATTTATTCATTAATAACATCTTTTAAACTGAATTCAAAAGTTAGAAAAATGATTTCAACCGATTACATGACCCAAAGCATTAAATCTCCATATTTAATTAATTATATATAGAAATTTTCAAAAATTTATATAGTTTTTTATAAATTTATATAATTTAAATTTAGCTAATTCATAGGGATTAATAAAATGTTTCGAAGTAACGTAGTACAATAAAGTGTTTAATATTTTTAATGTAAAAATTTTTCATAAACACCTTATTACTAATAAGTTGCGAAAAAAATTGCTGGAAATGTGAAAAGAATATTCGGAAATGGATAGCCGAGCGATGTGTTGTTTCGACCGGCACGATAGATCCCATCCTTTCATGTGGCTAAACTATTAAAATTTGCCAAAGATGAACGACAGTAGTCAATACATCTAGACAGCTCAAATGGTACATGCTTTTAGATGAATATAAACAGCAAAAAAATAATTTTTTTAATTCCAATTAATTTGATTAATTAATCTAATTTCAGTTAATTCAAAAAATTTTATCCTATTTAAACAAAAAAAATGCAAGTATCAACTTAAAAACTCATTACAGAATCAAAAAAAGTAGAATGCAGTAGGAATAATCGATAAATTGACTGCTTAAGGCTGATTAGGTAGGTCAGGTTTGAATGTTACTTAATTTTTGAATTGTTTTCTGGCTTCATTATAAATTCATTATAAATTGGTGAACATAATCATTAACCATACCGATCAATCTCTGATGATATTTAATATTTACAAGTGAATGATATGAGATGCATTCTGCTTGAACAAAATAAAATTATATACAATATTAGTAATATTGGCCACTGTTTCCTATGTAAAAAGTGAAAAAAAAGGACGGAGAAAAAAAATTAATTTACAATGCCAGGAAAACGATGCAATACCAACGATAAAATGACGTAGAAGATTCAGAAATAACCATATAAATCACTATATCCAACATTAGAAAAATGAATGTAGGAGGAATGGAGAGATTAATTAGAAAACTCGCAAATCCCCATTCATTTTTAACTTACCCATTTTTTAAACATATTATATGTGATGTTATTCGCGATAAAATTGGTGATGCACGGTCAATGTCCATGAAATCAGATTGCCATTCTTCCATTAAATGGCTGCAAAACATGCTGATAATTGAACATTTTTTTAAAATGCAAAATATCTTAAAAAATTCCGATAATGAAAAATAGAAAAAAATCTGGCGATTATCACTTCTATTTCTACTAATGTACTTCTAATGCCAAGTGACTCCATGGCAAAATTTGTCCTGTTCAGTACAGCTAGTTTGACTAGAAATGGTGCTCTTAGAGAAAAAAACACATTTCGAATTTTTAAGAATTCCATTTTTAAATACATGCATGCAAAAAAATACTTGTAAATAGTTTGTTCACAACCAGGATACATCCCAAAATTTGTACCATCAATAGTTAAAAGTATTAATGCTGATGGATTGAGAGGATGATCAACGTCACATAAACTATGCAGTGACAAAGGTGTATCAGATCGAAGTTTATCAATATCTACAAAAGGTAAAAAAGATACATAAGAACAAAAGAGATAGTTATAACTCAATTATATGGATACCATTTAAAAAATTGTCACTACCATTTAATATAATAGTATTGCTCGGTTTCTGAAGGGCGGCTACAATTTCTTCGTCCAATAAATAACGTTCTTTCGCAGGATTACAATTAATTGCATCTATTTCACCTTTTTCAGTAATATTTGTTAATATTTTAGCAATTTCGAAAGTAAATTTCCTTGCTTTTGACCCAGCTATCAGTACGACGTGAGGTTCATGTCGTTTCTAAATACATAAATATATATTCATAATCATACAATTTAATATAATCATACAATTTTTTAAGATACAGAAATATAAAAATTAATAATTGTAAAGTCGATAATTTTATAGATTTGAAACTGCGGTGCAAAAATGTTAAAATTTCCGAACATACCCTCAATGAGGATTAGTGGATTTTTAATGAGGATTAATGCTAGTTTTCAATTGATTTAAATTCTAATAAGATCGAAAATTTTATAGGGAATATCTAATAAAATAACCTGAGTCACGCATTTTTCACCGATTAACCTGAGAACATCTTTTGTATGTTGTTCTTCAAAGTCCTGTGGGTAATGGATCTTGACTAATTCAGTCATATATTTCTTATACCTTAAAAATTTATTATTTAAGACCTGATTAGAATCTATCGTACACTTAAGGATTCATGGAAAATAAGAATATTAATATTAAATACTTAATAGTACGTGATTAATAAAAAAGAATAAAAATTCCATTAAAAAACTAATGGCTCAGTGGGTTGTTGCTCAATTTAGAGCAGCCGAAGCTGCTGATTCCTCACAAAAGCAAACCTGTACAAAAATCCAGGTGATGCTGGCGACTCACCTGTACTTCTATCGCCAAGGGACTCCCTGGCATATTGCTCAATGCGACAAGCCAGTGGAGCGAGTTTAACCAGTAATGGTGAGGACTCTTAAGAAGAAGAAGATTAATAAAAAAGAACAAAACTCCATGAAAAAACTTATGCAGCTGCGATGACCTCAAAAATTGGCAAATATGGCATCAGAGATCGGTGCCGGTGTGCCAATGGGGAACGTCTTTTTCGTTATGCGCGAAGAGCACGAACTTTTTGTTACTAATATTTGCTCCTGGCATCATAGCAAACATTTAGTCAAGTGGAACTCCCCGGACAACCAACACTTCAACTAGATTGATTATATCTTAGTCGTTGGAAGAGTTCCGTACTAGATAGTCGTTCCTTATAGCAGAGCGGAAACGAGCAATCTTCATGAATCTGACCATGTTATGGTTCGAGCCAAGATCCGCATAAAATTGACAACTCGCATAAAACAGCTTCCCCCAAGTTACTCAAATTATCTCAAACTAAAAAATTCGGGGACAAAGAGCGCATTTCAAACCGAATTATTGAAGCATCTCAATGATACAAATATCAATGATTTTTCTGGAACGGCAAATGAATACTGGTCCAAACTAAAGGAATGTTTCCGAAAATCAGCCACTTCCACGCTAGTGCACATTAGTAGAAAGTGCGCTAGTTGGGTATCGGAAGTAACTGTCAAATTGTCTGAAAAAGTTGCCAGAGCACGAATATTAGGTGATCCTGACAACTCGAAAGTAGCAAGGCGGAAACAGAAATCTCTATTGGAGTGACATGGCCTCAAGAATGGAGGCGGCGGCTCGATTAGGCGACAATAGGAAACTATTCTGCCTTCTTCATGGAGCAACTATGACTCGGGGAACGATCAGTGAAATGGTAAGAGACGGCAATGGCGCACTAATCAAAAGGATCGCCTCATAAGATGGAAAGAATTCTGTGAAGCCAAACTTAACCATGACGCGATCTGTTGCTCCTGATATAGTTGATACGTTTACCGAAGCATATCTTGCAATTGGGAGCCTCCAACAGAAAAAGAAATAATTTCAGTTATCCATAAGTTTAAGGCCAACAAAACTCCAGGAGAAGATGGTCTTTGGACTGAGCTTTTCAAATGCTGTCCATCGTCCTTTATAAACAAATGTATTCTTTAGTATGGAAAAAAGAAATATTACCAGATGATTGGAGCAAAGCAATTCTGCTCCCAATTCTCAAGAAAGGTGATAGGACATACTGCGACAATTATCGAGGAATCAGCCTACTAGACGTCCCAGCAAAAATTTTTGCTTCTCTGCTACTCAGCTGACTTATGGAAGTACAGGAGAGCAGGATGCGCCCTAATTAAGCTGGTTTCAGACCAGGGCGCGGTTGTTCTGACCAGATATTCACGTTAAGAAAGGTGTTAGAACATCGCTTCAAATATTTGCAACCCACTGTCACATGTTTCATCGACTTTGCGGCTGCCTTTGATTCAGTTGATAGAGCGGCGCTTTGGAGAATGATGGAACATGATGGTGTTTCAGAGAAAATCATTAGACTCATAAAGGCATTTTATGAGCGTACATCGGCGCAGGTCTGTGTGTATGGGGAGCTGACATATTCCTTCGAAATAAGAACAGGTGTCCGTTAGGGCTGTGTCCTTTCCCCTATTCAACTATTTAACTATGCGATAGACTGGATAATGGACACTGCTTGTCGGCACTTAAGAGGTGTCAGAATTAGTCCAGAGCATCGTATCACATCTTGAATACGCTGATGATATAGTCCTTTTTGCTGATAGTTATAACGAAATGCAAGTAATACTAAATAACGTGTCAGAAATTGCAGCAAAAATCGGACTTAGGATCAATGTAAATAAAACGAAAGACTTTTCGTCCTATGTGCAAGAAGCTGATAAAATGCCTCTTTTTGTAAATTCTTTGCCGGTTGAGGAAGTGCCTAATTTCAAATACCTTGGGTCCACCCTAAACCAAATGGAGAGGCAAAAGATATTATAACTCGGATCACGGCAGCTAGAAATGTGTTCTTCAGGTTGACGAATTCTTTATGGAGTCGTCGTGAAATCACCATAAAAACGAAAGCCTATATTGCCGTGATCCGATCGATCTTACTATATGGTTCTGAGACATAGCCAGTGAGAGTGGAGGATATTAAGAAGTTATCTGCCTTTGACCACTCTTGCCTAAGGTATATTTTACGGGTTCGCCAAATGGATAAAATCTCACAAGATCGCATCCACCTTCGTTCAAATACCACTTGCATAAATAATATCACAGAGCGCCGCCTTCGCTGGTTAGGGCACATTCTCCGTCCTCCAGCACACGAATTGACGCATATTTCTTTATTTGCTAAACCATGTAACGGTTGGCGTCAAAAGCGAGGTGGGCCAATCAAGACCTGGACTGATACGGTGAGAAAAGATTTTGAACGTATAGGTGGGCCAGCAATATATGTGCAATATATGGACTTAGACGATGGAATGGCTTCCATTACTGTCGACTATGGCATCAGACTGCGCTGTTTGCGTCATACCCTTGTAGCTGTTGGAGCCAGTCTAACCAGTAATGGGAGAGCTGCTGGAAGAAGAAGAAAAAAATATAAGAATTCAAATATTTCAACTATGGTTTATATCGAAATAATTCAAAATTTTGAGTTCGAAAATTAACCTTGAGAGTAGAACATCTGAAGCGGTGGATGATTGAAAAAATCGATATTTCTGATAACTCCATAAATTATTGATAGAAAGAAACAAAAGACACAGGAAAAGTAGAGATATTACTGAAGAATCCCGGAAAAATCCATAAATATCATTTCTTTACCAATAACAATGATAAATTAATTGAAATTAGTTAAATTTAAACTTTGATTAGGAAAATATTAAAAGAAATTCAATATTGAATTAAAGCTTAAATTTAAATTTAAATTTAAGAAAAGTACCTGCCCATCTTATTTCAAATATTCTTGAATTCAATAACGAATCTGTTGTATCATTTTGATCATCTCTGAATTCATCATGATCTGATTCGTTAGCGCTTAAAATAAAATTAAAAAAAATTTTTACAGTCGATAAAAAATCAAACAAATACTATCACATAAATGAAAACCACATACAAATAACATTATATTATTTTAATTGAATATTAAAGAATTTAAAGGGCAATCTTTACATTTTAAATAAGAACCTTGAAAAAACTTTTGATGAACCATGAAAAATTAGTTGATTTTATCAATCTTATTTTTTGAAAATTTTTAATTTTTTTCCATCTTTTTCTTATTTTTCTAACGGTTCTCACCATTGCTGGCTCCACTTGCTACAAAGGACGTTTCCAAGCTGCTCATCGCTAATAGTAGTAGAAGCCATTGCTTTTTCCATTGTCTAAGTCCATAATTTATTTCCATTCCAAAATTTAGAGTTAAGCGTAAATAACATAGGATCCAAATAAACGGGAAGATATTGGTTAAATGAACGTAAATTAAATATATTTCTTTATTAAATTAATCTATTAATAAGACAATAACCTATTAAGTAACTTCTTCTAAGAGTGCTCACCACTGTTAATTAAATGCCTTGCCATCAAATGCCTTGCAGGATAAAATAAATTTTGCCAGAATCACCTGGTGACAGGTGAAGTGCCGGCATTATCTGGATTTTTGATAGGTTTATTACTGCCAAATATATCTCAGCATAAGCGCTTTGAATAGAGCAATAATACAACATTCTGAGTCATTCTTATCAGAAAAAACCGAAAAAAATCAGAAAAAAACACTTTTTGAACAAAGGATTCTTTAAAATAATGAGTCAGTTACTTAATATTCAAATCATTCAAAATTCACATATGTTAGCTAATTTAAAAAAAAAAAAAACTTACTTTATTTACAAATTTTAAATAATGCAATACTTTTGAAGGAAAAAATAATTTTTATAAATTTTTATGTGATTTCCATAATATTGTAAGCTCAACCCACATATGGTGAGAGGGAGGGGGGGGGGGGGGAAGAGGGAGAGGTAAAAAAACTTATAAAATCAGTTCGAACGGTGCTTAAGAAAAAAAAACGACGAATGGGAGCTTCGACCAATTTTTTTTCTCAAATCAAAATTCAACGCGACATTTTCCTTCTCCCTTAACCCCACTAGTCTCCTTGACCCAATTATTATACGACTGTAATATACTGTGCTATAATTTAAAGGTAAATAAAACTTTTCTCTTTCGACTCAGGGCAACTTTCACGACAATTCTACCGTTGATGCTAGACGAGGCTTGGTACGTTGGCTGTCGAATCCCAGCCATTCTTGATTTTCGGTTATAATCATTTTGCCAATAAGTTCTTTTTTATACATTTATGATGAAGAATTGTTATTATAAAAAAGACACTTTACCCACTGTCGAGTGCCTGCACTGCTCGCACAATTCAACTTTAATCGAAGCCAGCCAACAATTGAACTGCTATTCTAGCCAAATAATAGGCTAATTATATTTAATTATGTTTAAAAAAGCAATTAATGGAAAACAAATTGTATTTGCGATGTAGAGCGAGACAATATTCGCGATAAAAACGGTGAATTTGCAATTTGCACTACAACTTCTTTTTTTTTCCACCACTAAGTCATTTCATCTTCTTCTTCTTCTAGCAACTCTCACCATTACTGGTTAGGCTGGCTCCAACGGCTACAAGGGTAAGACTTTTCCAAGCGAAGCGGTCTGATGCCATCGTCGACAGTAATGGAAGCCATTCCTTTTTCCA